CAGGTCCACTTGGGTCCATTTGGGTCCATTTGGGTCCATTTGGGTCCATTTAGGTCCGGGTCCTCTTGGGTCCATTTGGGTCCATTTGGGTCCATTCGGGTCCATTCGGGTCCATTCGGGTCCATTCGGGTCCTATCGGGTCCTATCGGGTCCTCTTGCGTCCATTTGGGTCCATTTGGGTCCATATGGGTCCATTTGGGTCCATATGGGTCCTCTTGGGTCCATTCGGGTCCATGCGGGTCCATTCGGGTCCATTCGGGTCCATTCGAGTCCATTTGGGTCCGGGTCCTCTTGGGTCCATTCGGGTCCATTCGGGTCCATTCGGGTCCATTCGGGTCCATTCGGGTCCATTCGGGTCCATTCGGGTCCATTCGGGTCCTATCGGGTCTTATCAGGTCCTATCGGGTCCTATCAGGTCCTCTTGCGTCCATTTAGTTCCATTTGGGTCCATTTGGGTCATTTGGGTCCATTCGGGTCCATTCAGGTCCATTCGGGTCCATTCAGGTCCATTCGGGCCCTATCGGGTCCTATCGGCTCCTATCGGGTCCTCTGGCGTCCATTTGGGTCCATTTGAGTCCATTTGGGTCCCGGTCCTCTTGGGCCCATTTGGGTCCATTTGGGTCCATTCAGGTCCATTCGGGTCCATTCGGGTCCATTCAGGTCCTATCGGGTCCTATCGGGTCCTCGTGCGTCCATTTGGGTCCATTTGAGTCCATTTGGGTCCATTTGGGTCCGGGTCCTCTTGGGTCCATTTGGGTCCATTCGGGTCCATTTGGGTCCATTCGGGTCCATTTGGGTCCTATCGGGTCCTATCGGGTCCTATCGGGTCCTCTAGCGTCCATTTGGGTCCATTCGGGTCCTATCGGGTCCATTCGGGTCCATTTCAGTCCATTTGGGTCCATTTGGGTCCATATTGGTCTTTTTGTGGCCCAAGGGGTCCCTAGGGGACCGATGAGGACCCAAATGGCCCCAAGAGGGCCCAAATGGACCCAAATGGACGTTAATAGACCCAAATGGACCCAAGAGGACCCGATAGGACCCGATTGGACCCAAATGGACCCGAATGGACCCGAATGGACCCGAATGGACCCAAGAGGACCCGGACGCAAATGGTCCCAAATGGACCCAAATGGACGCAAATGGACCCATATGGACCCAAATGGACTTAAATGGACCCAAATGGACGCAAGAGGACCCGATAGGACCCGATAGGACCCAAATGGACCCGAATGGACCCGAATGGACCCGAATGGACCCAAATGGACCCAAATGGACCCAAGAGGACCCGGACCCAAAAGGACCCAAATGGACCCAAATGGACCTAAATAGACCCAAATGGACCCAAGAGGACCCGATAGGACCCGATTGGACCCAAATGGACCCAAATGGACCAAAATGGACCCGAATGGACCCAAGAGGACCCGGACCCAAATGGTCCCAAATGGACCCAAATGGACGCAAATGGACCCATATGGACCCAAATGGACGCAAGAGGACCCGATTGGACCCGATAGGACCCAAATGGACCCGAATGGCCCCGAATGGACCCAAATGGACCCAAATGGACCCAAAAAGACCCAGACCCAAATGGACCCAAATGGACCCAAATGGACCCAAATGGACCCAAATGGACGCAAGAGGACCCGATAGGACCCGATAGGACCTGAATGGACCCGAATGGACCCGAATGGACCCAAATGGACCTAAGAGGACCCGGACCCAAATGGACCCAAATGGACCCAAATGGACCCAAATGGACGCAAGAGGAGCCGATAGGACCCGATAGGACCTGAATGGACCCGAATGGACCCGAATGGACCCAAATGGACCCAAGAGGACCCGGACCCAAATGGACCCAAATGGACCCATATGGACCCATATGGACCCAAATGGACCCAAATGGACCCAAATGGACCCAAGTGGACCTGGACTTAAGAGGACCCAAGAGGACCGAAGAGGACTCGAGGGGACGGAACGGGACCGGACGGGACCCATGAGGACCTGTAGAGGACGGGACTGGACGGGACGGGACTGCCTTCGGACTTGAGGGGACGGGACTGGACGGGACGGGACTGCCTTCGGACTCGAGGGGACGGGACTGGACCGGACGGGACCGCCTTGGGACCCGAGGGGACGGGACCGGACCGGACTGGACCGCTTCTGGACCTGAGGGGACGCGACAGGACTGAGACTGACGTTGGACTCGCGTGGACGCAAAAGGACTGACTTTGGACCCAATTTTACGGATTCGTGCCGTAGTATTTAGTTCCGTTTTTCTAGTTTACGGATCGCTCCGTTTTTCAAATCTACGGATTTTAATCTGGTAATTCTACGGTCATATTTCTAACCGTGCAGGCGGAAGCATTTGCATACTCGCTGACGCCGGCCTTATCTCGGCCGGCCGGCTGGACGTGCAGGTGCTGGTGTCCGGGTCGGAGGTCGCGGTGGCGCGTCGCGCCGGCTAAAAGCAAGGCTGAAAGCGGCAGCAGCGTGTCCCTGGCCGTACAAAGTAGCGCCGATTCGATTCCGCGAGGCGTTTGAGCAGGCCAAGTCAGGGCCGCTCCGAGCTTCCCCGCTCTCCGGACTGCGGACGCGCGACGCGCGGCGACGAGGCCTCCTTTCACGCGGACGGCGTCCGGACGGCGCGACACTTCACGCGGGGCTGCTCGGGGCGTTGCGGCTGACTGCTTGCTTGAACCACGGGGTTGCTGGTTTGTCCACAAACAGGGGCCGAGTGGGTGGTGTGGGTGGTCATGCCAGGGCGCTTGGGCGCTTCGCCTCGGCCCAAATCTTTCTCCCTCCCTCTCTCTCTGGCACGTGCCCAAGCCCTGGTTCCGTTGGCATTTAGTCAGTCTTTTTCGCGCTGCCCTTTTTCGGACTCGCGGGCTCGCGCATGCCGAATGAGGGCGAGAGGGAAGTCAAGTCCACAGTCCGCGGCGCGGACCGCGGCGAGGTTTCACTTTAGGGAGCGCAACCGCGCCGTGCCGCGCCGTGCCGCGCCGTGCCGCGCCGTGCGTCGATGGCGGTAAAAAAATATGTGTCGCGTTGCGGTTCCTCTCACTTCCGTGGGGGGCTCGACCGGCCGAATTGGTGGCGTCACACACACACAAACACGGGCGCGCGCGCAGCCCCGTCAGTCACACGACAGGCCCCCGGGACCGTCACCAAGCCTCCGGGGCTCCGGGCGCTGGGCCAATGAGCCACGCCAATGAGCCACACCCCCGGACCCTGGCCCCTGGCCGTCCGCACTGGAACTGGCCGCTGGAGCCGCTGGACTCGCTGTGCTCGCGGGGCCCTGGACCACATATCACGGGGACCGACATCATTTCTCCAGCGACGGCTAGACTCTGGAATTGCCGGTCTACTCCGCGGCGCGGCGTGCGTAGTGTGGAGCGGCCCGTCCCGGTGGGTGTGTCCCGGCGTCCAGGCCAGACAGCCGGGCAGGCCGAGTCAAGCGCTAGGCCTCGCTGCGTAATGGTGGTAATGGTGAGCCGGTGAGCGGTATTGTGCCTGCTCGGCGCGTGCCGCGTGCCTCCAGCGTCGGCGTCTTATCGCGATCCGCCACGTGCCGCGCGGGCTGGGCAGGGCACGGCGGGCTCAACGGCCGGCAACAGACCCCACCAGGGAGGGGAAGGGGAGGCGGGGGGTCGCCGTGCCGGTGCCGCGGTGCCGCGACAAGTGTTGCGCGCGCCAAGAACGCGGCCGGGCCTGGCCGGGCCGCGCGCCGCACGGGGAAGTGGTGCGGTTCCTACCGGACATGAGACTGCCATCGGTTTCCCGCGCGTTCTCCGCTGCCCTGCCGCCGACTCGATTTGCTTTGCTGACAATGGCACGGGTGACACCCACGCCACACCACTGTTACGCCCTGCCGCGGTCCCGCACAATGCTGGCTCCGAACCACCAACTGGGTTGAAAAGGAGATGTCCCCCCGTGCCCGGGACCCGTCGTGGACGGCTGGACTAGAGTCGCCAAGTTTGTTTCTGGTCGGTTCCTGCCCCTGGTGCACTGCGGAGTTTGGTTTATTAACGGACTTCTAATGAAGCCCACTGGCCGCCCACTGCCCGGCCCGGGGCATTCGACCCCCAACCCCCTCCCGCCGGCCCCAACCGCCCTGCCACCCTTGCGGCCACGTTTGGTCGTCCTCAAACTATGGGTTTGTTTCTGCTCCCCTAACCGCCGCCCTGTGCACCTGACAGGACGTGGTCTGAGGCTAATGTGCCGGGGGGTTCTCCAACAACGCTCACCTGGATGTAGCCGATCTGCGTGAGGAGGACCTTGTGCATGGGCGGGCGCACGCTGCCGAGGCCGGCGCGCACGCGCTGCAGCGCGGCCAGCAGCGCGTCGTCCTTGTCGTCGTGAAGGGGCGACGGCGCGTCGTAGACCGTGTCGTAGACCGAGTCGTAGACGGCCACCCTCCGCGTCCGCGTGGCCGTCGTGTTGCCGCTGCGGCGCTGCGCCTCCAACGGCGTCCAGGCGGCGTCGCTGCCGTCCGTCAGCAGGACGACGACGGCGAGGGCGGCGAGCAGCGCGACGGGGCGCAGGGCCGGACCCATGCCGGCATGGGGAGGAGCGTGGCGAGGAGGGCGACGACGTGCACCTGAGCGCGCGGCACGCGGCGGGCAGCACCGGCGACGAGCTACGCGACTTGTTCCTCGGCTCTGCCCAAAGGCTCTGCCTCGCTCTGCCTCTGCCGGCGCCAGGCCGCGGAACCCCACGCCGCGCCGCCACGCCGGCCGCCCCGGCTCGGCCGCCTGCCCCTCCGTGGGCAAGGCCCGCGAGGCCTGGCTTCGGCCGCGCCGCCACGGCACCGCGGACGCAGCGCACAGTGGAGTGGCGCTTGACCGACACCCGCACGCTCATTACCAAGAGTCGTTACGCCGCTCTCTGTCGCACTCGTGGGAGCAGTGCGAGAGAGACAGAGCGACGGAACCGCCTCGCGAAGCTCGTCTCCGCAGTCTCCGCAGTCTGCTCATTCGTTTTTGTTGCTTTTCGTGTTGCAGGCCAGCAAGGCGAGTGGCGTGCCGCCCCAGCCCTACTACATGACGCACTCCTTCCCCCCGGGCGGCCCACCGGGCGCGGGCCCCGGCGCGTCCGCCACCTTGCCCCGCGGCGGCTCCATGCTGCGCGCCTACTCGCCCGCCCCCAAGAACATCCCGCCCTCTGGTGAGTAAAGTTAGCTCATATGTTGAATATCATTTCACTCTTGGTACCAGCAATGAAATGTTCGGTGGTCGGCTGGTCGGTGCACGCATCACGCCACCCAGCTGTGACGCAGTGTGACATTTAGACATGGTATTTTTGATAGCTAAAGACTTGTTGTTTCCCTGTTTCGTGTTCAGCGCTCCCAATGAAAAGCGTTCTCGCTCCCCCCGCCCCGCCCCGCTCCTACCTCCCCCCCAACAGCCCCGTCTCCCCCATGGTGTCCCCCATGGTCTCCCCCATGGTGTCCCCCATGGTCTCCCCGTACGCCGGCCCCGCCCCCCCGGCCCGGCCCCGGCCACCGCGACCGCCCCACCGGAAGTACTTCCCTCCGTATTTCTCGCCCTTCTCGCCCAGCGAGGCCAAGGGTGCTTCCGGCTCGCTGGCCTCGCCCTCGCCCACTCCGTCTCAAGGTTGGTGGTCCGAGGGCGCGGAGAGGAAAGGAATGCTCCTGGAATGCTGGCATCGTGATTCTCATCTGCTTGCTCTGGTTCATGTTCATGTCGTTGTTGTTGTTATTGTTGTTAGTATGGTACGACTTTAAGGTGTCGAGAGAACCAAGGGTACAGAGCGCTGGTAGAATACTGTTGGATGCCTTTTTGCTTCGCCTTTTCATTCCAAAGGGTGTGCCACCCGCGCGGCCAGAGAAATAGGCAACACCCGGTACAGGGGTGTCGGAAAGGTTGCTATGCAACTTGCATACCGACACCCTCACTGTAGGCCAGCCGCGACGCCCTGCGCTAAAACGTGTTGCGGGTGTTTCGTGGGCAACGGCAACAATCACCTGAGGCTAAGGCCTCACTAAAGATTAGAAGGTCTACTCAGAATCCGAAATGCCCATCGCTAAGTCGCTAGCGTCTGCCTGGGTTCAATACAAAATCAGGCATTCAAGTAAGTTACGTCGCAAGATGGGTGCGATGTACTTAAAAGCGCTCTGTACTCTACTTTTGTTGTTGGAGGTTTTTCCAGAGAATACTACCGTCTTGGATGGTTTTGAGTAAGCGCGTAGGCACACCCTTAACCTCACCACTACCCACTCCCACTACACAACACACCCTTCCCGCTACGCCCCCACCCCCTCTGTCTCTAATCACTTATTAATTAATGACAGTATTTGTTAAACCTTAATAACTTGAGCGACAGCGCGATGAATATCGGCATTACAACTTGCACTTACTAAAAATTGTGTCATACATTCAAGCAACTAAACTAAATACAGGCACTTAATGTTTTGGTGTCACAGTCACTAGGCACAACGCAATTTATACTCAGTGGTTACATGTTGACTTTAATGCTGTAGCTAACATGTCTGTATAATGCATGTTTTTATCTGTTACATGTAACTGCCAAAATTTTCAGTTAGGTTGTAGGAATGAGTTGATAAAACCAAACTGGAACAAAAACTAACAACTTTGTTTTATCCGTTGCTGTACAGACCGAATCCATGCAGAAAGTGGTTACATGAGCTCACCTGAACGAGGAGGTCCTCGGGCTTACCCATCTCCAGCATACCCATCTTCAGCTGCTGTGCCTTACGAAGAAGGCTACTATGGGCAGTATGGCACTCGCTCTGGTTCCATCACTCCTGTCATTGATGAAGAAGCAAGGTAAGCACTCTCCTCTTTTTTCTTTGTCTTTTGCATAATCATTGATGTAAATAATGCCAGAATTGGTGTATCTTTAGCTGCCATATATGTGTGTACATGTGTGTACATGTGTGTGTATTTGTGCGCATAATTATGAGATCCCTTTATTTTCCCTACATGGTAAAAATGATTTCATTACCCAATGTACATGCTAAATTTATGATGAGTGACAAGAAGGCAGAGCAAAAATATTGTGACTGTTCAACCTCATTTTGGTCTATTTTGTATTACACTGCGACTACAGATTTTGTTTAATGATCTAACGGTCTTTGTTTCAATGTGGCTTCTTTATTCATCTGAGTTGTTCAACTTGTTTGCTGCTTGGCTCCTGCAAAGTCTGTGAATACTTTTACACAATTAACTTGCCTTTCTTTGAATGGATTGTGCTCACTCCAAGCTCTTGCTCGAAAAACAGTTCATCGAAAACCAGCCCTGTTTTTCCTTTAAAAAATGGAGAATTCTATCCCAAAAATACAGAAAGTTTTCATCCTTCCGATTCTAGTTCTGTCATGCTTCTTGCTAAACACATGTTTTGCACCCTGATCCTGATACTGACTTGCACCTGACACGCACTCCTAGTGACACGGAGCTGATGGATGAGCAGTATGCCCTTTATGGCGTCAAGCTACCTGGGCCTGGGTCTGGCCCGCGTGGGCCCCCTGCTGCTGCGAGGGCTCCTTTCCCAACCCCTGCTGGACCTCCTTACGACGTGACTCGGTACGACCACCACATTCACTTCCAAATCTGTATATTCTGCTTTTACTTGTTGGTTTTAACCAGGTCTTGTATCGCTTATTTCAATGATTGTGTGATTCTGAATTTTTTCAACTTCCCAAACTCTCTTTTGTGCATTTATTTGGTCTTAGCATGCTAATTTTGAGATTTATGTATGAAATAGTAGCCAATGAACTCGGAATTGTCAAGCATATGAGCCACGATAATTTACAAGAGACAAACCCTCAAAGGGAACAAGTTTGTAATGATTTGGTTTTATTCTGTTTAGCATAGGTTTTTCGCCTACTTTTCATTTGATTTAGAGGTCTACCTCTGAGTTCTTGTCTTTTAACAAAGTGCAATACCCTTCCTTTGTTTGCTCAGGATACGAGTTGAGAATATGGAACGCCAACTTGCCAACTTGACTGGTTTGGTTCAGAAGGCTTTGACACATGGGCCTACTCACCTTGCTGTGCCAGGATCTCAGGGATACCGTAATGGTAAGTTTTAATATTAGACTTAACCAATGGACAAATGCTTTTTTGTTGGTTTTTGGAGTTAGAAAACTACTTAAAACCATCAATTTAGAACTGTGGGTGTATGGAAAGAAAACTTAGTATGAATTAACGCCGTGAGTGGGATAATAGAAAATCAAGATTTAGAGTTCTTTCTTTTTGTAATAAGCATGAGAAAAACTTTCAGATGTTTCTCTATCTTTTTTTACCACAGCTAGTGTCCCTTAATTATTGCAGACCTAGTGACTGGTCTACTACTACCTCTACTGTTGGCTGTTGAAACTATTACTGCTTCTAAATTTTAAAGCAAGGCTGTCATATTAGGCTTTAAATATGTGGCAATGCTAATTTATTAACCCATTAGCACTCATGGTGTGCACTGGTTCACCGTTGAGAAAGATTATGTACATATTACCACTGCTACAGTTATGTTCAGTGCCTCAGTTTTCCTTACTTTAGGATGGCTATTGAAGGCATCTTTAAACAGTGAGATAAGCTTTAATTAGGATGTCCAAAGAATTTACTAGGTTGGGGGTAACCATGATGCCCCCTCATGTCTTTGGACATCCTAATTAAAGCTTATCTTTTGATAAAAGTTTTCTCTTAAGTGTAAGGCACCATGCAGCTGTTGAGCTGTCATGTTGAGCACTGGTGGGTTTATTTTTTTTCAATGCTAGTGTACAAGCTAAAATGACGAAAGAAACAGGAAAGTAGTGGTTGTAGGTCTTAGGTGGCATTTGCACTCAATATTTAGTGACAGTTAGGCTTGCTTTTACTAGCTCCTCAAAGTTATTTCATTACATTTATAGTCATAATTGATTTTAAATTACTGAGGATGCATTAATTCTGAAGTCTTTGACTGTAAAATATATTTTGATCATGGTATATATGTAGCTGTAGGTACTTGTAAATTCTTAGATTTTAACCTTGTGTAATTGTGTGGTGTGTCACTCAGCCTCAGGAGAGTTTGATACTCATGCCCCATGCAGCTCAGCTTCTCAAGGTTAGTCTAGTAAAATTTATTAAGTGCTGTCCATTCAAGAGATAGGTACTTAAAATGTTTATGACTGATCAAGAGGCCTTGTTCATTTCAATGGACCCTCAACTTTTCTGAGGGCTCCGTCTTCCTTTTGACCACGGCATGATTTCTCTGGTCATGAAAACACTGTTTGATTGGTGTCTCTCCTATATACAGATGTATTCCCTGAGGTTTTGGCTTGAACACCTTGTCAATACTGGAAATGCAAATTTGTTCAGAATCTCATAAGATTTAGTTGCTCATAATTTTCAGTGGTCATATTTATTTGTTTTTATGTCTTTTCCTCCAGACGATCCCACGTTTGTGAGGAGTGATGTGAAACCCCCCAAATTAGGAAAAGGTAGCGCTTCTTCATTTGATGCATTGTTTCTTAAGGGGGCTTATTTCTTTTTCAAATACTGGATTTTAGTGCGTCATTCTAACAACTTGTAGATTGCTTTAAAGTAGACAGTTTCGTAGCACTAGGTATTGTGAACTAATGGGCTTTCCTCAAAGCTCTGACTCAAATTCTGTCATTTTATTCCGATGTTCTTGCCCTTCTAATTTCACTATCATTCCTCTCGTTCAATATAACCCAATATATCTTCACAACATACTGTATACATGCTTTCAGCTGCTTGAATCTACATTCCAGAATTATTGTATGCTTCATCATTAGCATTAACTATTACTGTTTTTTCTTCAAGCAGTTCGTTCAATGAGTTCAGACGCCACAACTCTCTTATAAGCAGAAACTATTGCTGTAGCTATGTGACAAGTTGCCTTTCATTGCTTCATTGCGTATAACACATGTACTTATTTTTCTTTCGCATGGTGACATTACTACGCATGAATTGTTTACACTACCATCTATGACTGGTTCTTGTTATATTGGAAAATTTACTTGATTTATTATGAAAAGAGGAGACCGTTGAAGGTTTCTTGCTTTTATGAAATATTGGTGTTTGAATTTCTTTTAAAGACCTGTTTCTTATTTCCTAATTTCTATGAGATGGTCATTATTTGTTTATTGTTGTCACTGTTTATGTGGCAGATCTCAATTTACTTTGGTTACAACAGCATTCCTTCTTGCATGTTGTTCATCAGCTATTGCTATATGTTTTAATTTTTTTATCTCCTTTACTAGTTTTTATTTATTTTACAATATTTTTGTACTTTACACGTTCTATTGCATTGCAGATAAATCTGTTTCATTCGAGAAGTCAGTTTCATTCAGTGATGAACCCCCAGACATGAATTCACCTAAACAACATTCTCCCCAACATGGAGGTAAGTCCTGTTCATGCATTTTGTCTGTTTGTCGGGTTTTTTTTTATTCGAACCAAATAAAGGAAAAGAAAGGATTACTCACAGACAATAAACCTTCGAGCTAGAGAAAAGAGACATGATGGGCTTATAAGGTGATTTTTTGGTTCTTCCATACCATTTTGGTGTTAAAAAATCACAGCCCTGTTTTCTAGATGTTTTTCCTGACATTAATTTTTTGTTGGTTTCCTCTTTCAAAGTATTCAATTGTATTTGGTCTTGATGTCACTGTTACTATTTTTGCTCTGGAGATTTCTTATTATTTCTGGAAACTCTTCTCAACCGTTAATCTTTCATGAATCAGAAAAAAGATTGCCCAATTCAATGTTCACAAAATTGTGTGTAGAATAACAAGTAAGGCAGGCGGTGTCTCTTCTACAAGTAATTATGGTTGTCTCACCATCTACTTCCTCATCACAAAAATGTTACTTTTCTCTCAGCAGCATGTGCTGTTTTATAAAGATCTGCATTTTTTAGCTGCTTCTTCAAACTTTTTCCCATTACTTTTATAGGATGTTAATTTATTCATATGCATGTTTAGCATGTGAGCAATCAGCAACAACTTCCCTCCCGAACATTCATGCAAAGACAAGTGTGAAACAGGGGTCTGACCTGTATTATGATATTCCCAGGAATTTATTTTTTTTTGTTTTTGTAAAACCAAATAGGCAATGTAAAGATTAATGTTGAAATGTGTTGAGTCTGAGTCTAAGTTTAAGTCTCAAGCTGCAACTTCAACTTCCTTGATACAGATCAGAGGAATCAAGCCGCTGCCTTTATATTTTGCCTCAGAAACATGAAAAGAAACTATCAAGTCATTCACTTCTTTTTTGCTGGTCTGCCCTGCCCTTCATCTATTTCCTTTTCAAATTGTATTTGGTGGATATTTCAACCCTTGATTATCACTGTATTAAAGATTGATCTGTGCAAATGGAGCATGAGTCGAGTGTTGTCTATAACATTATTGGATGTGGCACACAGTTTTATCCTTGTAAAACTGTTACTTTCCTGACTTGTACTTTCTGTTTCTTTGCATGCTAGCGGACACTAAACCCACTAAACCAGCAATTAAGTCATCTACACTCCCTAGAACTTCATCACAAGGTAAAAGAAACAACTGGATTTAGATTTGTTTTAATAACCTTTCACACTACCCCATTGAGAGATTCAAGTTCTGGAAGGTAGATTTATAGTATGGGGCAATGTTTCCAAAGCTGCATTGTGTTCTGATCATCTAAAAGTAGGATGGACGATGCGTGTAATCTGTTCATGTCAATGAAGTGGATACAATTCTTGTTGTTTTTGATAGAACGTGATCGTCACAAACCAGCTCCTCCACCAAAGCCTATGTCCTTGTCTCCTGGACAGTATGAAGGGCGCAATATATACAGAGGCAAGTGATAAAAATAATGAGTTTTTTGATGAGCTTACTTCTGCATTTACTTATTTTTCCTGCATATTTATTTTCAGATTTGCAGCTGACTCCAGAAATGTACAACCAGCTACGTGGCCTCCAAAAGAAAGCGAAAGATTTGAGACAAGAAGTACGTAACTTAAGAAGAATGTCTCAAGCCCAAGCTCATTCTGTAAGAGAAACTATTCGTGACACATTCATCAAAATAAGGTTTGTTTAAGATGGCAGAGGACCGATTAAGTTTCTCAACTTATGCCAGTTCGTCTCTTTTATCTTATTAAATATTTCAGGGCCATGCTCATTACTGGTTCGGAAGGATCCTGGGCAGCTATAGGAGATGCTGAAAAATTGCGATTAAGTAGGGAAGAAGAACTCTACAAACAAGAAATGATTCGCCTAGAAAAAGATCTCACGTAAGTACTTGCCTTGATTATGGCATCTTATAAACCAGCTTGACGACACAAAATCTGGAAGGTAAAAGGTTTCTATGACAACATGTCATCTTCTTTCAGGGAGCTTGAAAGTACAGTTGAGGAATTGCGTGGCAATGTTATCAACAGGAAGACCAGAGTTAACATGTCAGATGTTGAGAATATGGCTTTGATTCTGAGCAAATCCAGGTGAGGCTCATTGATCTTCCAAAAGTTATACAGTGAAGAAAAAAAGCTCATTCATAATTCACTTTTTTTTCCTCTTAGTAAAACAGTTGCAGACTTAAAAGTTCGCTTCCCTGGCTTACAAGACGAAATGAAGAGCCTCCTGTCCTCAGAAATGGATAAAGTCATGCGAGAAGAAAAGTAAGGACTTTTATTTTTGAATGTATTGATGTAGGTCTGTTTTAAACTAAATATCCCATTAATTTTCTACTGAATTTTTCCCCTCGTTAGGTTCTTAAAAGAAGAACCTGAAAGACTCGAAAGCGCCTTGCGTCGGTGTAAAAAACTTACAGGAACTTTGGTGACTTTAAAACGGTGCGTTTCTTTCAGCTATTTCAATTTCTTTTACTAGAGAATCTTGTAAAATTTGTTACATAGTATAAATGTTATCATCATTTCGCCTGCAGTTTGGCTTCAGTTCAAGAGCAGCGTTTGCCAGGACCTCCAGGTGCAGTAGGTGCAGATGCTCGTCTTTCCCCTACTCTGGATGATGAACCACTCCCCCCCACTCCTAATTCAGCATCTAGCAAGGTATGTATGACATGTTTTTAGCTATTACCAATGCTAGCTATTTAGTTCCCTGTTTGCTGTGGTTTCCTGTTGATTTGGTGCTCCTCATAGTACTTTTTTTTTCTTTTTTTTTTTGCTTGTAATGACACTGACTGTAACACGCTCAGCACATTATAGGGTAAACATCTTATTGGTGCTGAGTTATGGCCCATGTTGTAAACAGTTCTGTCAGTGCATTTATTGGATTAGGGCCCAACTAAGTGGGTGCAACTTAACACTAGAACCGCGGAGGGGGTCAATTTGACCCCTTTTAATTTTCGTCATAAATTTTTCTGACTTATTTTTTTCTTCTCGGATTTGGGGCTTTTTTACTTTTTATAAATACCAGAAAAGAACATTTGAGTGAAATTTCGGCTCTGTCGGACCATTTTTGTGGGCGTAGGACAACAATATACCTAGAACCGCGGCAGGGGTCATTTTGACCCCTGTATTGTTTGCACTCAGGAAGTTCGAATTTTGGCAATAAAAAAGCGTCACAAGCGTCAATTTTAGTGGTGAATCATTTGGGAGTGCTATGGACTGCCCTGGGAGACCTAACTTGGCCAACGGCATAGGCGACCCGCCGAGCAAACGCCTAAATGTATGCAAGATGCGTGTGTTCCGCGTAAGGTATCTGTAGAATAAAAAAATCTCATTCAACGAACGTTAATGAAAGCAGATGATACTCGTTTGGTTTTCTTCGAGGTAGTCGTTCGGGCTTTTTTATAACTGTGTATGAAATAAATAGATAGCCCAATAATATACATGGACCTAAGCGAGCTGGCCAATGTCGGTGCGAACCGAGCTGTGGCTTGCACCGGCCGAGCCGTGAGACATTGTTGCTGTTCTGTGCGCGCTGTACCCGGGGCAGGGGATTTTTGGGCCCGGGTGCCGCTCGCGCTGTACCCGCGAGGTATTGTCGATGTTTCGAGCAGACTGCCTGCCATGCGACACTCACGATCCCGCCCGGCAGCCACCACCCTAATATTATTGTATTATTGTTAGGATACCGCATGGTTTCTGGACTCAGCAGTAAAAGCACGGTGTCACCTTTATGTGTCCAATAGTTTCAGATACGTTTCAAGTGTAAAGGTATCATCTGGTAAAAAATCTACGTCACTTAGTACCCATCCCTACACTGAATAACAGGAAAAGTTGCGATATACATCGGCAACTTTGGCCCGTCCCGTACATTGAGGAATGTACTAATTTCGCCTATTTTTAATCCGGACGGGACTTGAACCTGAGTCTGGGGTCAAAATAGATGTTTTTAGATCAGCATAAATTAGATCAGCACCCTCATACACATCAACAACAATGCAAAAACTAGAATAAAAGGAATGTTCTTAATGTACCCCACTGGGATTTGAACCCGGGTTCAAACCTCTCCGATCCGCTTGAAACTGGCACCGTTGGTTTTGTCTCGTCACCCCGATTCAAAAAATTTCCCTTCATGCTCTTCTAGCTGCATCCGTTGCCAAAATCCTCCTCGACCTAAGGTAGACCATGATGCACCTGCAGCAGCGCCCCCGGGGCTCGAATCGGATTTGCTGCCAGCGGGCGGTTCTGAAGGGTCACCCAAGTAGGCTGCATATCAAATTTGGTCAAGATCGGACCACGGGAAGTCCTCAGACGGACGAACGAACGGACGGACGCACAGCATGGATCATACTCCGTCCCTCCGTCATTTTTTTAACAAAAAAAAAATACAAGGGACGGGCCAAAAATGGTAGAAAAGGAGCAAAACAGGTTATTCGTGCCATGCGGGTTGCCTACCTTTGGCCTTTTAAGGCCCTATATAACTCAAAATATCATTGTTGATCTCAGATACATCATTTTACATCGTTAAGGGCCCATAACATGAGCAAAATTAAAAAAATACGGGCAGAAAAAATGGGGGGTCAAAATGACCCCTTCCGCGGTTCTAGGTATACAAAAAAGTCAGCGGTTCTAGTGTTAACATCCTCACAATACTGCTCAAAAAGTTTAAAGGGAATGTAATACTTTGTCCAAACCTTCATTTTCAAATAATATTGTAGTTTAAACCCCTTTCATTCAGTTTTTTTAAAAAGGACAGACACATGACATCAAAGGAGCAAATTTTATCACTTTTAATTAATTTATTTGGCTTGCAAATCTCAAACATATTTTTAATAGCACTTGTCAGATTTATTAGATGCCAGGTAGGAAAATGTGCACTGGTCTACAGAGAAGTTAGTCTTTCAACCTGAAAGAGGAGACTCAAATTTACTCACTCTTTTCTCTCCTTTAAACGAGGAGGAGCAGGTCTCTAACTTATTTACACGCCATACATTCTATCGTGCTTTGTTTGAGTTTTTGTTCTTTTTTTCTTTTTGATTCTGTACACTGACCTTGTGAGTGGCATTGAGAGCACTAGCTCTGCTGCATTACTGCATCACAACATCAGACTGAAAGAAAGGAACAGACGGAGGGGCTGGTGCCCTGAAGGAGTCACCAAGTAGAGTCACAGTGAAATTGAAATAGTGTACTTCGTTTCATGTACATATTGGACCTTATCTTCTTCCTGCTCCTCTCCTGGTCACTAAGATGTGGCTGTTGTCTTGAATAACTGTCTTTTCTTCTTGTTTCTGTATGGATGCACATGTCCTAATAATCCTGAAGCCTGAATACTTTTTTTTGTTGATAATTTTTCTATTGGACATGAACTGGTTGTATTCAAAATTCCTAAAATATTGCAGATCAATTCAGAAGGTTTTGCATATTTTATTTAAACTGTGCTTAAGCACAAGAGGAAGAATTGTTAAATGTAAAGAAGTATGATAACTATTTCTTGAGATGCTCCTCTTAAAAGTGCTCAATATCTAATAGGCAAAATTCTTCCTGATTAACCTTCAAATGCCTGTGTTTTGCTCTTTTAAATGTCAAATTATACCAAATTTGATGTAATTTTCTCGTATGGTACATTTCCTTGTAGTCATTCTTAGAGTAGTAGCTTTGCTTCTGATGCTCAACATAATTACCCTATTAAATCTTTTGCAATCAATGTCCATTTGGAATGAATCCTGTTTGGAAGGACAATTGGCCTCCTCAGTCTGTGTTCCCAAGTTGCTAACTGTTTCTACAAGTTGACAGTGTTACTATAATTTATTACAGTTGCATTTGAGAACTGTTCCTAATTTGCATTCCATGAAAGTAAATCATCCAAGCTTGTTTCTTGTGGAGTCATGGATTCCCAGACTAGTTTCTTGTTGTTCTGGTTGAACTCAATGCATTGGTCACGAAATATGGTACACTTTAATTATCTTCCATAAAAATGGGCAGCAACTCACTCACAATTCTTCTCTTTAAAAATATTAATGCAACATAATGATTCAAAATGCGAGAATGGTTATGTACCAATTGTTCTTTCATGGGATTTGCTTGTACATTATTTTTATTGCTAACGCAAAATTCGTACAAGTATATGCTAAGTATATTTAACTCCCTCCACTCATGTTAGCTTGCCTGTATTCATTTGCTGTTTGATTTTCTCCTATCAGTCAGAACAGAATCATTGATCACTCTTATTCTTCGGATATCTAGGATGCAAGTTGAGCCCTTCTCATCTGTTCTGATATCAGAAATATTGGTTCCTTGCTTTCTGTGGTTACAATCATTCCATGTTGGAGAAATCAATACGTAACCATGTTTGAAAAATACAGAGTTACATACTAAAATCTTTCTGATAATAGCTGGTTTACAACAGCAGAAAGAAAGCAAATTTGATGTTTCTGTTTTGACTCTGAGCCTTTTAATTTTCATTCCTCTCCTCTGTTTATAATGTGTGCTTCACATACTGCACACAGTATTACAATTTTTGAAGAAAATCATGATTTTGCATACCCACATTGCACATTGCACATCAAGAATTTTCTTCAAAAGTTGTTACAAAATATCTATGGGTTAACCTATCCTGCATCATTTTATGTTCAACCTAGTGCCTTTATGGTCCCACTCTTTTCCTTTCTATATCAGTCTGTGTATCATATACAGAATTGGCAACTTAAACATCTCTAGTTTCCTTGAATGCTACAACAAAACTGCTCCTCATTGTCCCTACACTAATGGGCACGTTAGCACAAATACTGACTAATGCAAGTTCCTTTTTGTTTCTCTGTTTTGAAATTTAAAAAGAGGAAACAAAAACAAAATAGTGTTATGAATTAAGACTTCTATTGCACCTAGTGCTAATATTAAATTTGTAACCGGTATTGCAGTAGACCACAATACTCTCACCAATAGATTTGATCCAAAAACAGGTCAGTTTTGCTGAACTTATTTTAGGAAGAAGAAATTCTAAGAAATTTTGAGATGTGATCTTTTTAAAGTTTCATTCAGAACAAAAATTGTTTTGGTGGGGAAATTTTTTTAATGAAGAACATTTATTTATTTTTAAGTTTTTATTTTCTTTTTATTCGTCATGGTGTTATGTGTGTTTTATTGTGGGGTTTTCACTGCACCTAATTAAGCACCAAGGTTATGCCTTATGAAAGAAAGGGCTATTATCGTTGTGCTGCAACAGTTTGAGAGGGCATACAGAAATCAGCTGTTAATTATGAAACTCGAGACTGAGGCTACTCTGAAGTTAAATCCAAAACAATTTGAAACAGAACAAGTGATAAGCTTTATTCACTTTCGTTGTCTGATACCTCTCTTTGTAGTATGATGCTGAATTTCATTGGTGGCTGAAATAATCCTTGTACCAAGTATAGTTAGTTTTTCTACTGAAACAGGAAAACCATTATTGAAGTGAAGTGTATACTCTGCCTACGAAGGATTTGGCATTTTCTTATTTCTGTTTCAATGCCCCATTTTATTGTTGTTGTCAAAAAAATAGTTTTGTTTTCACTTGTGACATGCACTGCATTATTATTGTGGCAAATACAAGTTCTCTTGAGGTGTGTTTGGCTATCCAGATGCAAACAACTTGAAAGTGTCTACTATACTAATACATCAATATTTGTGAAAATTAGAAAATGTTGCATGATATTTATGGCCATCTTCATCACTTGAAGAGTTCTTTTTGTTTGTTTTTCACTGCTCAAATCAACCATAGATATTCTTGGTTCCATATCAGAAAGTACACTTTAACTACTCAAGTGATTAAAGGTGGCTCCGGTAACGCATCTTGCACTGATGCATATCTGTCTTTTTGTGTCCCATTGCTCCACCAACAGTATGGGTGGAAGTGGAGTTCTCACTTCAAGGAGGCCATTACATTAAACGAGTAAACCCTTCCAACAACAGTTCGTTCTGCTGCATCTCTAAAAAGCTATATTTTTGTTTTGGTTACTTCTTTCATAAAACTTTACTTTTTCATAAATTTTGTGATGCTTGCCTTTAGTTTTCCCATTCAATTCAGATATGTGTTCATTGGGATACTTTTTCCCCTTTAAGACAATATGCTTTTATTACTTTCATTTTTCTTTCCTAAATTTCATGATTGGTTTCATTACTTGAATGATGAGCATAATTTTGTGCCCCACTACTCCTTCAGTACACTTTCTTTCCTTTCTTGTTCTTTTCTTTAAGCTTGTTTTTTCAACCATCGCCTGATAACCTGTGAAGGTCAACAAGTTTTAAATTTGACTGGTAACATAAACTTGATGGGTCAAGTGCTGATGTGCAGAAGGTTAATTAATTATATATTTGCTTGATATGCCACAGCCACTCAGTCATTTCAAAATCTTAGGAAAGAGATTCTTGACAAATGTCGTTTTATTCATAGTTTCTTAATTGTTGAGTACCATTTGGGCGGTTTTTGGAGGAACTTGCATGCCTTCATGTTTTCTTTGCTTACCACCTTGCTTTGTCTTCTAAATCTCTGATTTGTTTTGTTTGTTTCATAACATGTTCATGTCCCTTATCTTCATCCTTAGTGTAAGGTATGGCTCAGGAAATTAATCTTTCATCATTCATCTTTGGATATGTATTATTCCAAGTATCCTCACTTGTTAACAAATTGGAAACAAATCTCAACCTTTCCTCTATGTCTCTTTCTATCCACCCTCCTCATCTCACTGTCTGGTTTCGCATATCATGATATTTCTGTTACTGACATTAAAAACGTAAGGGACATTGAAGCGACCCAAGCAGCAAGTACAAAACTCGTTGATGGTTCTTTGGCTGTCTTTGGTTGTGGAAAGGTGAAATCTACTACTTCATTCAAACTGTTATGTAAAAAGGATGCTAGGGAAACTTTATCAAAATTTTCTGCCTTGAAACAATCCATAGATATTTCTGGTTTGCTTGTAAAGGGAATCAAAGGTATCAGTTTTGTGTGTGGTATGTGTGGTTTACATATTATCATTCAAGAGGTCTTATATTCAAATAAATTTGCTTTTACGTTGTATATATAATATTTGATAAATTTGTATTGGAAATTTTAAAGGTTGAAAGTAGATTGTCTTTTGACAGTAGTTACTTATATAGCAGCTAAATTGTTTGGCTTTCTTTGGGAAAACACCTTACTCTAAGGATGGAAGCTCCAGTATTTTATTTGCCTTTATTCTCTTTCCTTTGTTTTGAATCATTCGTTACTGGTTGGTTTGAGTAAAATGAACTTTGATCTTGAATATGTGCCTGCAGTGATCTCTGTTTGTCATGTCTAGAATGTGAACTCCATTAGCTTTCAAATAGAGACAGCATGGCAGTTATTGCTATCGATTTGTGATAATTCCTTCTGAACATGTGTCAACAAAATGCATACAGTTAGCTATATTGCATTCATTACATAGTATAATTGCGATATGTAGCCATTAGGCTTCGGCTTGTTGAGTGCTCCTAACAATACATAGTTTGAACTAATAATACCTCATGAGGAAATGCTTCAAATATAGGGGCATAAGTTAGAGTTATGGTAGCCGCAGATGTTTGAAACTTTCCTTTTTATAACTTTCTTGTTTTGTTTCTTCTATGACCAGCATGTAAAGTTTGAGAATATTATCCTTTAATTCAAATTTTTCAAATTTCAGAACAATTTTTGGCAATTATAATACATAGCTTTTGGCCTCTTAGACTTTTTTGATAATTCAATTCGTTTTTGGGCTGGCCTTTGAGTCAATTTCAGGAACTTGCCTTGTCTTTACTCTACTTTAGCATTACATACGCTTGCTTCAGTACTATAATAAAAAATAACAAGGTTTTTTTTTTTCAGATTTTCAGCATGGCTCCCTTGTGGTCATTTTGTTACCATTCACTGCACCCTACACTTATAGCCTGCATGATGCACTGTATAATACTGTTTTATGTTTTTTGTTGTTGTTATTATTATTATTGTTGTTATTGCTGGTTGGAGGGTCCCCAATACCCCTTCTTTCCTTGATTGATAGCTGAGGGTTCAAACAGGAGGTTGAAGACTTGACATAGCATTGAAAGTCATCTGTATTTGTGCAACTTAAACAGTAATCTTGGCAGTTCTTGGCAGTCTTCAAGTTTGTTGCACATCCTCCTCCTTACTTTGGAAGTTTCAAAACATTGTTTAACAGAAAGAAATTTGGGGAAATGGGGCCTTGGACCAACTTATTACTTTTTCTCTTGGTGTCTTATGTCCTTGATTTTACTGTGTGTCAATGCAAAGGTTCCCACCCGATCACCTCCAGAAATGGCCATGTAGTTTGGTTTGGCCTCGCGAAGGAGGCCAGAGGTTTTCTAAAATTGGCTGTCAACGGGAAATGACAAGGTAGTGCAATAGTTTACAATCCTTTACATCCTTTGATTAGCTCACCACTGAGATAAATGATCAAATCGAGATTTACATTTTGGAAATAGCTACAAATACAAACTGAATAAAATTAAATTAATGATCATGCATAGATTAGAAACTCCTGAATATTGTCCAGCCAACGGTTAATCTTCAAATTTGCACCAGAATTTCACAAGTCACCAAGCTGGGGTATCTCTCAGTGTGACAATTCTTTTACCGTCAAAAAGGTAACATAGACAAGGTGGATTCAGTCCTTTTGTTTGAACTAGCTTTTGTTTTTTCCTCTCCTTTTTTTTAACAATTTTGCTTTTGCATCAACTTTTTTTGTATTTGTTATCACAATTTTCAAAGTAGCTTTGTGTTCATGCTTTCATTCACTTCTGCATCCAACAACATTGATTGGGACTTGCTATTTAATGTTTGATGTTTCTTAATCAAAATATGGAAGATGATAGTTCGATAGTACTGTAGATGTTTGACTGGTAGTTCTTATTCTTGTGGCTTTCCAATAAGATGTCTACAATAATGATAAAGCTAAATTCTCATTTTTTAATAAAGTTTTCACAATTTAGAATTTTGCCGAACACGTTTATTTATCCCACTCTGTTACTGTAGTAAACTTCAAGGCATTTTTGGAGTAATTAATTTTGTCCTACAGAATGTTAAAAAATATTAAAATAAATTGTACCTGATCCACTAACTTGTGAAAACTTTGATGAATTATAAATTTTAATATCTTTATTGCAGTGTAAGTAACAGTCTGCTTTCTATGTGTAGGCCTGCATCTACGGTTCAGCGCGGAATCTCGCCGCGGCCAGCGACTCGGGCGGAGAGTCCAGCTCTGGGAAGCGTCCGGAGAACGCACTCGACGCCTTGTTAGATGAGCTCCAAACTTTTGCAAAACCACCAGCTTCGAACCAAACACATCCTCCAACTATGGCTGAAATAGGACGTCGGAAAGGTAGCATTGAGGCTACAAACCCTCCTGCAAGCAATCCAACCTCTTCACTACGCCGCCTTCATTCGTATCCCAGCAGCTCTGATGGGGGAGGCAACTCACCACCAAACATAGCACGGCTCCAAGTTTCTGATTCTAAACCACCTGTCCCTGAACGCAATGCTGATCTTCTTGCAAAGAGAGTGCCACCACCGCCACCACCAAGAACCAGCTCTAGGTCCCCTTTGGCATCACCAACCAGCCCATCCTTACCACCCCGCACTCAAAATCCACCAAGCCAGCCACAAATGGGCACACAGGGCACTCTTCGTAGAGCACAGGCAGGTAGAGCCAGTGGAAGGTCGTGCAGTATACCTGGTGCCGACCCTCTTCGAAATCCCCTTGCTCCTGAAGAGCCATCCACTGCCAGTCCTACCATCACAGCGGCCTCTAATAGCTCCAGCTGTGAAAGTGTTAATTCACAAGAAGGAGCTGTGGCAAAAAAAGAAAGGCAGGAAGCATTAGAGCAGAGGCACCAAGAGCTTCTGCGGAAACAGCGTGCACTTCAGGAACAGTATGCTCGATTGCAGCAGCTTCAGCGTGGAACAGCCACTGTCCCCACACCTGATCTTTTGCTGAAAAAAACAGGGAGTGAGAGTAACCTCCTAGCTAAAATGGGCATGCAAGGTCTTTCTGCAGCTGCACCAATGTCTGGTTCGTTAACGCATTTAGCATCTGCTGCAGCATCTACTCCATTCACCACCGCTCAAACCACAACTAGTAAAATCTATGAAACTGATATACTTTGACAACTTTAGGTTGAGCAATTTATGCCAATAGTCCGACATTTCTGTTTACGGTCCTTTGTGGAATGGTGATTTCATTGTCTACATTCTGCCTCCATAAGCATTGCCTGAGCTATGACAGGTTAGAGAAACAAAGCTTTTCTTTTCAATGAATGGTTTGTGATAGATTTTATTAAGGTCTCAATTCCATGATATGAAGCTGTGCTCTGTTTTAACTGGAAGCTCACTTTACACTGTCAGGTCGCAGGATTAATGAAGCCTGGTGGTCAGGGGTCACATTCTCTCTTAGAAGTCACTTATCAGGTGTTTGAAAAGTAGGGTGAACCAAACAACTTTGTTAAATGTGCCAATGCCCTTCCCATGCTTCACTATTCTTGTAAATTTATGACACAATGAAGCAGTTTGTAAATTTTTACAGACCAAAGAAGTGAAAGTCATTATTGTTAATATAATGAGCATAAATGCTCAAAAGGTGTATGTGGGTTATTTTCATTTGAACGTGTTTATGTCTAAGCTGTAAAATAACTATTTGTCTTATTAATTCAACCTCAGTCATTATCACTGTTGCCAAAGTATTTCTCCTGTCTATTTTCTCTCTTTGTATGATTTCTTGGTCTGTTATTTATTTTTACTTCATTAATGTAAATAAGACTCAGCCAATAAAATCACAACTTTAGAAGTATTGGTCACAAAGCTTTTGAGTTTCTCACATTTGGACTCATTATATGGAGTGCCATAAAGAGCATTTTAAATTTATCAAAATGTAAAAATTTGCTCAATCCCAGTTTTTTGCTATGTCTATCTAGAATATCCATAACATTTACTATGAAAGCAGGAGGATGAAAGTTACTTAAAATCTTTTTCGTGACTTCAAGGCAGAGTTCAACACAAATATAATTTTAAAAAAGTTAGACTTGTAGACCTGCTGTGGTATTGTTTCATACAAGCTCAGTAGTTTCAGCTTCATGCACTTGATATTCACTTTTCCAATTGTGTTAGTGTATTCTTGTGTCATGTTTTAACATAAGGATTTTGCATTTAGTTACAATGTGTGTGAAACCCTCTTCCCTTAACTCTCTTATTTATTCGTTTCTGTTCCTAATGGTATTTGGTTGTTTTTTTTTTGTCATTGGCATTGAGGACAGGGAATGTTTTTATCCCCTCCTTCTGAATTGTGACATATTATCTCAGTACTCATATTTTCTGTGCTATGGTAATAGCACAGAACTACACTTACATTTCAATCCTTGTGGGCTGTGTCACCCTGTAAAAGAAGATCTGTATCACCTATGTTGAATGAGAAGGATGGGCGCCAAAACCTCTTTGAAGTGATATTAAGCTACGATTTGGTGTTCTACGACAGCTCTTGAAGAGTACAGTGTCAATATTTTATGTAAAAACTCAAATTTTCCTTGATTTATTAATGTGCCATTAGTGTTAAAGAAAGGCATTGTAATATATTCATCTCACTAGTACTTTTCATGTTAAATAACATACAACTGTATGATTATGGATTCATTGTAAATTCTGTTTATTGCATACAAACTTGTCTTTTTAGTCAGACCTGCAGAACCTCATTGCACTTTTTTTACTACCATCTGTTTGTGTCAACTAAATGTACTATACAACATTTCCTCTTACGAAGGGTATTCCCCTCCCCTTCCTTTTATTTGGTTGGTCAATATGGCCTAAACTATTGTGAATTTTTAATGACTGTGAGAAGGACTCCTTTGGTTATGATTTTCATGTGTTTGAATCTGGAACACTGTGTGTATATGTAATCTAATATTTACTATGTCATCACTTTGTAAAAATATTTGAACAAATTAACTGTATAAAACGGGCTATTGTATAAGTCTATAGTTGCATTGTATGAAATAATTAAAAAGATAATAAACTATGAAATTTCTTAGAATGGAATGAAAACGAGTTGTGGTTATTTGAGCCTGACATAATTCAACTGCATTCGCAATTACACATCAAAGCTCTCACTCGTCACACTGAATTTAAAAAGAGAGAGAGAGGGGGAGATAAGGGGGCATGCGTTCCATCCAGTCACTCAAAACGTCTTTTAGTTGTGAGTAGAATCCCTTCTCTCCTTGTGGACCATTTGAATTGCGCGGCAGATCCTTCCCTTGACTGTAACCAACTAGTGAGAGGAGCAGAGACGAGTGAAGGCTATCTATTTTTTTTAAGTTGACGCTGATACTTTGTCAATTGTTGGTATTTTATGCCGTATCTGTCACGCTTCATCAAAAGCGACAGCACGAGAAGTTTTTTTCTCCCATTCATGAGCGGCCGCACTATAAATTTTGACCTAGTTTGTTGGATATTATTCCCCCGCCCCTGCACCCCCACCCCTCCCCTCTCCCGTTGTTCTACGGGGCGCGGTGAGGCCGGGCCGCGTCTGCTAGTTTGTTTGTTTTCGTCTTCTGTCATTGAAATTACATAGATTTAGAACGATTAAAAACCTAGTCAACCATCAACAAGACTTCGAAAATCAAAATATCGTCGTAACATTGAAGGTAAAGTCCTGTGAGTATGCTGTCTGGTGTGTTTACGAGAGTAAGTTTGTTGATATTCTTAGGTTATGGCACTCTTGTCTTATGTTGACTGAGGTTTCTGATCACTAGGGTACCATGCCGGTTTTGTTGGATCCTCCGGAGGGATGCAGGCGCCCAACGTATCTTATGGTCAAGCATCATAGAAAACTTGAGATGCTAATGTACCTTTTGGGGCTTGTCTGGTTCTTTGCATTACCATCTGATAACGTCAGCTCAGGTACTTATCTCAGCTCTTATTCATTGTTGGTGGCAGTTGAGGCTCAACACCTGCTGGAATACCATCACAATACTTATCTGTCCTCCTTCTTTGCAGCATCATATTTTTCTGAAAACTCACTCTTGCCGGGGTTAGTGAAGGGCGGGTTTGTTGAGGATTCCTTTGCGAAGACACTATTGGCATCCCTTCAAGATGAAATATCTGCTAATCCAACGAAAATGCCCTACCCATGGTTACTGGCACAGTTTCGTCAAATAGGCCTTGATACATATACTCATAACTTTACATTAAACTACCCCCTAGCAAGTGATTTGGTAATATCTCTGTTTCCTTCTCCATTTGATTTCTAATAACCCCTATTATTATTTATTTATGCTTTATAATTTGTAATTCTTTAATTTATAAAGGCATTTGAGGGTCAAAATGTGTATGGAATTCTTCGGGCCCCTCGTGGCTCTAGCACTGAAGCAATTGTGCTATCAGTTCCTTTCCGTGGCTCTAAGAGTGTGCATCCTTCCACAGCTGCTGGTGTTGCACTCATGCTGGCAATTGCCAAATTTTGTCGTCGTAAGTTCTTTCTAACATACTGAGTATTACTGTGTAAAAAATGAGCAACATTTTGCAGAGATAATAATGAATAAAATTTTTACAGGACAAAAGTACTGGGCCAAGGATCTTATTTTCCTCATTACAGACCATGAACAGCTTGGAGCTCAGGCCTGGCTTGAAGCTTATCATCAGACATCCTCTGGTAGCCATGCTGTACTAAACTCAGGGGATTTACTTAGTAGAGGAGGTGCAATACAGGTGCAAATACTTGTTTCTGGATTTACTCAATGTTTGTATTTCTCTTTATAATTCACAATTGAACTCAGGTTTGACTTTATTTCAGGCGGCTGTAAACTTAGAACTTTTATCTGATCGTATTAGTCACATAGATGTCAAAATTGAGGGGTTGAATGGTCAACTACCCAACTTGGATCTAGTGAACTTAGTTCACATGCTCTGCAACAAAGAAGGCGTACATCATACATTCCACAATAGGGTATGATGTTTGGCTTTAAAAAAAAAAAAAAAAAAACGGACACTGTTGCATACTTAGGTACAAATGTTGCTACATTTCCTTTGAAATTTCTACAGGCTAATTATGGAGATGGGCAATATAAGGTTGACCCATACAAATCATGGGCTTATTCCCTCCAAACTATGTTAGAGATGGTGTTTGCCCAAGCTTCAGGTGTTCCGAATGGTAACCATGGTTTGTTTCACAGGTAAATCTCATTTTCTCCTTCCGCTGCCTAATTTTAATCGTTTGTCTTCCTCTGTGTGGCTCAAATAGATTGTTTAGTAATTAATTTGCCCTGTTTGACTGTGGTTTTGTTATCTTAGATTTGGAATTGAGGCTGTCACACTGACAGGATACAGAAAAGTTGACCGTGGGAGTCCAGCTACTTTCTATCAAGTAGGCAGGTATGAAAGCAAAGTCAATAATATCTTGTATCATCTTATTTTTGAAATATGTATTTGTTTTGGGGTGATAAATACATTTATTTATCTTGATCTCAAAAGGGTACTAGAGGGAATACTTCGCAGCTTAAACAACCTCCTTGAGCGGTTTCACCAGTCCTACTTCTTTTATCTTCTTTCTGCCACCGACCGTTATATTTCCATCGGTAAATTAAAGCCTGAAATTACCAAAGAAAAAAATATAAGAATCTTCAATTTGTAATACACTGTCACCTATTTTTTCCAACCATAAGGAATCTACATACCAGCTGTAGGCCTCATGGCGAGTACTCTTCTGTTGCGAGCACTGGCAGTTTGGCGAAGTCTACAGTTGCCTTCTCTGCAGTCGGACAAAGCCAAGCTACTGGTAAGAACGTGAAAATAATAGGTATACTCTTTGCTGAATGTGCATTTATATCTTTCCTTTTTATTCTTCTAGCGGGCTCAAGAAATTAGCAACAGTTTTGCTTCTGTTGGGCTTACAGTACTGGCAGCACATGCTTTAGGAGTTTTGTTGCTCAGAGTTCCAGTATGGTCGGCACTTTACCTAAATGTAGGGGCAGACTCTTCTTTTGCAGTAGTCATTGGTTTGCTGTCATTTACAGCCGTAACAATTTGTCTTCCTAGTCTGATGTCGATGTAAGTACTTCATGTCAGTAAAATATACCATACCTTTGTGTTTACCTCAAAACTGCTATATACTTGTTAATTGTTTTCAGGCGTCAAGACAGTTTATTATTATTGTATGTGATAGGCCTCATCGAATTAGCAACTGTCCTTTTGGCAGTGTCTTTGCATAATTTTCCATTGGCTATATTGTGTTCTATTGTGTACGTTCCCTTTGCTCTTTTTGCAAACGGTGGAAGACTGAGGTAATCATTTGCGCTCTATCACATAGATGTAAAACTTTTTCTCTTTAACTTGTAACTAATTTACTTATGTCTTTGTTTCAGGATTTTAAGAATAGTCTGTTGGTTGTTACTCCAGCCATTGCTTTTGGTGGCTATTATGATCTTCACATATACATCAATATATTTTCCAGATGATGTAATTCTTTCAAAAGCAGTGCATGCATTTAAAGAAGCTCTTACATTTAGTTATGTTGACTATGCAGTATATGGAAATTGGATGTTAAGTGTTGGTGCCACGTTTCTTTTCCCAACGTGGTTTGTTCTCTGGGTTGTTGTATTAAAGACATTGTAAAGAAAATAAATTCACTTTTAGTTTATTTTGATGAAAGCCATAAGAATTTAAGGTGTTTCTTGTAGTGATTTGTTGTTGTTAAAAAGTTCATTGTATAAATTATCACAGCAAAGCCTATATGATACTTAAAACTGGTTGTAAATTATTATGCAAGTCTCTTGCTCATATCTTGAGTAAATTGTCATGTTCAGACCTTAACAATTTGTTTCTTCATCAATCTTCTCTGATTCATCTGAAGTCCTTTCACCTCCTACCCACCATAATTTTACACTGTTTTCAATAAAACGGGCAGAGGCAACATTTTCCCCAGGTTGTTTGTCTACCTCATCCTCAGAATCATTTTCAATGTTTTTTTGATAATGTCGTTGCCCTGAGCACGTTACTATTAAGGGCTTTTGATGATGAATGCTAGAAAAAGGCGGCAATTCAGAATACAGAAAATGACTGCATTTTGTTATCAAAAATATTGAAATTCCATACCTTAGACCATTTGCGCAATCACTATGTGCTTGGAAGACTTTTAGAGTGCTTTTCAAATTTCCTTCCTCATCAATGGCTTCAGAGGTATCCCAGATAAAAACCTTGCCATCGAAGCACCCTAGTCACAATAAATATTCTTAAACTAATAACAATAATACTAATAGTGTAAAATACAATGGAGTTAACCTACCTGATAAAAGGTATTTCCCATTTGGAGTGAGATCAAAATATATTCGTTGATGAGTGGGCACTTTGCGAGGAACAGAAAACAAAACTTTGCCAGGTTCTCTAAGATCCCAGCACACAATTTCAGAATCCTTTCTGCCTCCACTATAAAGGCGCATACCATCATCAGAGAATTTCATGTGGGTGATTCCACCCTCATGACCTTGTAAAATACATAAAGCTTTGCCTGTATTTTCTGTATAGAGACCTGTGAGAAAAAAATAGGAAATGAACACTGTGAAATACCAAAAGCAACAAGAGGCAGGAGGAAACTAGAGGGAACAAACCGACTGATCGAGTGTAAGTCCCCACAGCAAAAAGGGATGGAACAGCAGGACACACTGCAATGCTTGAAACAATACCATTCTGAGTTTCTCCAGACGCACCTGAAAAAAATAAACTGCAAGTAGCCATATTTTCTTTTTAAGACAAAAGAGCAAAAGGTACAAGAGATGCATACTTTTCAAATTACGATTACTGTACGATCTACCAGGTATACCAACATCAAAAACACGAACACAGTTTTTGAATCCACAATATAGTCGTTCTCCACAAGGATCAAATGCTATGCTGCGAGCAGCTTCCACCTCATCAACCCTTTAGCAAAAAAAAAAAAAAAAAAAACAAGACATTACAAAAACAGCAGTGCATTCAGTTAGCAAAAGAGTAAACTTGTTTCACATAGATAAAGGAATACCCACTGGTTGTAGGCTCGGTATGTAGCTCTCAGTTGCCCAGTAAAGGCATCCCACAAGTGGACAGGACTGTCTTTACTGGCACTTGCAAGACTTTTATAAAGTGACAAAGAACCATTAAAACAACTAATAAACCTCAACTTATATAAAAATGATAAAAATCAATATAAATTAAGATTTTGAGCTTACCAACATGTTACAGGGTTCCATGAATTCATTAGTGGATACCAACAAAAGTCATAGATAAGGCCACCCTCTCTCATACATAATGAGGGTTTTATGGGTGAAACACTGCTGTTCGACTGCCACTCAGAAACACTATTCAGGTTTTCTGGTAAATCCCAAACTCTTAAAATATTGTCATTGCTATTCGTCAGAAAGCAAAGTCCATCTGGCGCCCTATAAGTGATCAAGCAGGTGAGGACTGAGTGCAATACATTTACATAAAGCACAAAATTGTAGTTAAGAAGATTAACAGACCATTTGCACCCCTTAGTGTAACAATCACTTGTCTTAAATTGTGAGGTCTCAAAATGAGTGAGACATGGATTACTCCCTTCATGGAACATGTAATTTACTTCCACATTTGATTGAGTCTCAAATGTTTGATTCTCAGGCGTACTATGGTCAGATTCTACTGTAGTAACCATGTTTTCTGAGACAGACTCAAGTTTTTCAGGATCATTCATAATGTCATCATTTTCGACCTGCTGGAAAATAGAATCATAGCGAGTAACCTCTCAACATAAGTTACCATACATGATTTCAGATGTAGTTTTGAACAAACCATTTTTGACAGTGATTTGCAGAGGCAGCCCCAGTACTTATCTTTGATTGAACAAGCAAAGTAGGTCACAAACCAACAAAACTCAACTTCAAAACATTTCTTTGCCGCTCCTCCTCCCCTATCAAAATCTGTTTGTTTACACTTTTTCACTAACGTTTCCGATTAGGATATTTCTCATACTACACTAGAACTAGATATGAGAATTATTTCAGTCAAACCTCCCGCCCGATTTCGGATTATAAACAAAGCCGTGTGTGGTCTGTTATTTGTTTTTCTGTATCTGACAGAAAAGTGATTTGCTAACTAGAAGTCAGAAGCATATAGTCGTGATGGACTCTGTTCCTGTCATTCGGAAATTAGATGAAGTTGTTATAAATCGAATCGCTGCTGGAGAGGTTATTCAGCGACCAGCCAATGCCTTGAAGGAGATGATAGAAAACAGGTTGGTTTAGATGTTATTAATTTTAATCTGAGTTAACAGCCTTATACAATTGCAATTTCTACTTGCTTATTTTATTTTCTTACAGCTTGGATGCCAAATCTTCCAATATACAAGTGACAGTGAAAAACGGAGGCTTGAAACTTTTGCAGGTTCGAAGTCACAGAGATGATCTCTAAATCCATTGACAGAACATTTATATTTGCCAGTAGCCCTCTCCCCCTCCCCAAAACTTTTAATCTTCAGTGTGCCTTATCATTGCTTACAGATTCAAGACAATGGTACCGGTATCAGGCGCGACGATCTAGAAATAGTGTGTGAACGTTTCACAACAAGCAAGCTTACTAAATTTGATGATTTGAGTAGTATATCAACATACGGTTTTCGAGGAGAAGCGTTGTCCAGCATAAGTCATGTTGCCCATCTCACTATAACTACAAAAACTGCTAATGAAAAATGCGCTTACAAGTAAATTAATTCAATTTTACTAACTTCTGCTCTAATTTTAATATTCCCTTTTCTCATAAAATATTAGGTTTTAAAATTGTGAATTTTTATTGGTTTTAGAGCAAGTTATATTGATGGAAAATTGAAAGGACCCCCTAAGCCCTGTGCTGGTACTCAAGGCACACAAATTGCTGTGGAGGATTTGTTCTACAATGTTTCAACCAGAAGAAAAGCTTTGAAAAGCCCAGGAGAGGAGCATTCTCGAATTGCTGATGTTGTCAGCCGCTATGCAATTCACAACTCCAAAGTATGTATTTTCACTTTTCTAAAATTGTGTTTTTTGAAGTAGGAGAAAATGTTACCCCCACTCTTCTCTCATGCCCCACCTTTGTAATTACAGGTTGGCTTTTCTCTGAAAAAGCAGGGTGAAACTCTGTCTGATATCCGCACTCTACCTAATTCAACAGTTGTTGACAATGTAAGGACCATTTATGGAAATTCTATTGCTAGGTAAGTCCAGTGTGTGCTATACTTAATTACTGCCTGCTTCCAGCAATGATTTAATTACTTCTAATTATTTATATTCCAGGGAGCTTTTAGAAGTTTCTTCAGAAGATGAAGTATTAAAATTCAAACTTCAAGGGTATGTCACAAATGTTAACTACTCAACTAAAAAAATGGTCTTTCTCCTATTTATAAATCATCGTCTTGTTGAATCAACTGGTATGAGTTTCAAACAAATGAGCAAAACACTGTATTTTGTCTTTAATTGATTTTACAACTATAGTGTGTTTATGTTTCATTCTGTTAACCAGCACTTAAGAAAACCCTGGAGCAAGTTTATTCTGTTTACCTACCCAAAAACAGCCATCCTTGGGTCTATCTCAGCCTGGAGCTAGATCCTCGAAATGTTGATGTTAATGTTCATCCCACCAAACATGAAGTTCATTTCTTACATGAAGACAAAGTAGTAGATCGTATCAAAGCCGCCCTTGAAGAGAAACTCCTCGGATGCAACACATCTAGAGTCTTTTATACTCAGGTAAACTTAATTTCAATCAGAAGTCATCATTAAAAGACACTGTTCATTATTCTAATCAATGATGTAAATTTCAGGCCCGTCTTCCCGATTCCAATCCTACCTCTGCATCACAGAATGAGCAATCCTCATCAAATGCACCCTCTGTTCTTCCTCAACACTTGGTGCGGACTGATAGTTCTGCTCAAAAGCTAGATAAGTTTTTTAAAATTGAAACCAGCTCTGGTGATGTAAAAAAAACATGTCCTGGATCCTCAAGTACTGACCAAAATATCACAGAAGAGAATTCAGCCGAGTCAGTGTCAAATTCATCTGAAAACGAAAGGTATCTTGAAAAGTTCATAATTGTAAGGTCTGGTTGTACTTACTTGTCTCTTATTTTCTTTTCTTTTTTTCAGACGAGATATTCAGCTTACCAGTGTTCTTCTTCTAAGGAAACAGATTGAGTCATCTGGTCACAAAGCCTTGTGTGACATTTTCAGCAAATTTACTTTTGTGGGATGCATCAATCCCTCTCTTGCTTTAATTCAGCATGAGACTGTGCTTTATTTGTGTGATACAGCAGCTATATGGTACCCATTCATTCATGGTTCTGTATCCTTAAGCTGATGAGATTCTGTATTTTAGGCTTAATGTTTTCTGTTCCAGTGAAGAACTCTTCTACCAATTAATGCTGTATGATTTTGGAAATGTTGGTCTGTTGCGCTTCACTGTAAGTTCCCAACAAAACAGAAGTGCTGTAAAAAGACTGCACCTTTACCAAAACTAATCTGTTTCTTCTCCTATTTTTCCAGAGTGTTCTTTCTATCTATGAGTTGGCTATAATTGCTTTGGACTCTGAAGAGGCTGGATGGACAGAAGCTGATGGTTCCAAGGATGAGCTTGCACAAACAGTAAAGGATTTACTGTCAAGCAAAGCTGAAATGCTTGAGGATTACTTCTCCATGGGAATCGATTCGGATGGAAACCTTACTTCCATTCCACTTTTACTAGGTACTAAGGGGGGAGGGGAATTAAGATTTTGTGCCAACCTGCCCAAGGGAAATAATTACCTTAACATTCATTTCAGATAATTTCAGTCCTCCAGCAGAAGGCCTTCCCATGTTTGTTCTGAGATTGGCCACAGAAGTGGATTGGGAAACGGAAAAGGAGTGCTTGGACGGTGTGTGCCGAGAAATAGCACGGTTTTACGCTCGCATTTCTTCAGATGCAGTAGCTTGTTCTAGCCTCACTCCTGATTCTCTTGATCATCCAGAGCCTGAAGTAAGCATGTGCTTTATTTTTCTTCAAACTTAAGTTTTAATTTTGAACAGATTCAATTGAATGGTATTGGTTTGTTTACAGGAAGGGCAAGACTGGAAGTGGGTAATAGAACATGCAATTTATGCAGCCCTGAGGAAAAATTTCTTGCCTCCAAAAATTTTTGCAGAAGATGCTACTGTTCTTCAAATAGCAAAATTACCTGATTTGTATAAAGTGTTTGAAAGGTGTTAACACTTTCTGATAGAACTATAATGTAAATAGTGCAGTTGGGCATGTAAAGGTTGCCAGTAATAATTGTGTCTTCATTCATTCAAGTGTCAACTCTTAATGACTAATTTTTTAAACAAAGTTTTAATTGGTTTGCAAAACATGCAACTGCATAAGAATTACGAGCATAAAAGGCAAAAATTAACTGTTCAAAGGAGACTCTGTATCATGTGTTTTAGACTATAATTTATTTTACACAGCTTGCAAGATGATTTGCACCTCAGGCAAATAAAATCAGTTTATGGGAACGTCATTCAGTATTAAACATCAGATTTGTAAAAATAAACAAATACATAACCGAATGTACAAATATTCTTACATAGTGGTTGTTTAAAGAAATATCACATTATGTCTTGAAGCTTACTATTTATAAATAAACCATCAGCTTGGAATTTCATTCTATTAACATACTTCTTCTCTTTCTCTCTCTCTCTCCCTCTCTTCTTCTTTAATGCCTCTTTTCTCTTAGGGACCTAAAGAAATGAACTACTTATGTAGAGCAAATCAGAATCCAGTTACATTCTCATAAAATTTTTCAGTTGTACAGAGGTTTTTTACTGTACGTAGTTTCAGATCGTCAAACAAGAGAAAGTTTTGATTTAAAAACTTAGATAAATTTGGCCATAAGTATGTTTTAAAACTTTAGCTCTAGTTCTAGTGGGAACGTTGCTGTTCAGCCAAATCGGTCTTTCTGCATTCCATGATTTACCATATGAGTCAACAACATCTTCATAGCAGAAGTGCTTCTGCAACCACAGTCTGACTACTTTGGTGTTGTCTTCATGTTGTTTGACCACACCATGTTTTACAACAACTTTTGTGTCTAGATCCATTTATTAAAGTTCTTCTTGGAGTTTTCTATGTCTGCCCCGAAGCTTCAAACTCTGATCGTGAACTCCCTCCCCCAAAAGAAAAAAAAACAAGCTGTGAAATAGTTACTTAGAATAGATGATAAATATGGTGCCTACGCACCTTTTGCAGTATAAAACACACAGAACAAAATAATATGTACAATAATGTAGAGCCACTCGTGTCACTCATGAAATAGAAACGGAAACAATCTCTCTAACAAACAAACAACACTGCTCGGGTCTTTGAAACGCTCAAAAAAGTTTTATACACGTGACATATGACATCTAAACAGTTATCACCCAAGAAATTGTGCTTCTCGACAATACCTATAAACGTTGATATTGCTGTGAGGCACGCGATCCAAAATATAAACTGCTGGCATGTCCTACAGTTTGAATATCACCGAACCAGACCAACGTCCTAGCAGTAGGAAAGTCCATGGCTTTACCGCGCGCGGGGTGCGGAGGCATGGTGGAGGGAAGGGCAGGTTCGTCTCTTCGGCTCCAGCGAGCACACCTCGCAATGCACCTCGGCTCCCCGTTGTGAACGGTCGTCACTCCCGCTCCTCCAGGACGGCGTCGTTGCACAGGTCGTTGACCCTAAACGAGGAGGGGTAGCTTGCCAACAGCAGTCTTTGAGACGGCGGCGCTTCTCTTGTCCGTGTGTCCGAGGCCGAGACGGCGTACGGACGGACCGCGGCGGCGGCGGTCGGCGGCACCACTGCGCGTCCACGCGGTGGCCAAGACGGTCGCAGTGGTGTTGGTGCAGCAGCAGCAGCAGGGCGAGGCCAAGGCCTTGGGCCAAGGACGGCACTCACGACATCTCGCTGTCCGACTGGTCCTGGCTCCGCGGCCCGGACTCCTGGTCGGCGCGCTCCAGTCGCTCCAGTCGCTCCAGCTCCGGGTCAGACTGCCAGCTGTGGGGCATCGGCCCGGGGCTCGGACCCGAGGGACCCGAGGGCCCCGTCGGCCCGGAGCCGTGCCCGGCGTGGGGCAGCCAGCCCTCCTGCTGCTCGAGCCAGTGCTGCTGCTGCTGCTGCAGGCGTTATGTCTGGTACTGCAGCATGGCGGGCGCGCCCAGGTTGCTGTGCGACGAGTTCATCCTCAGCGCGCTCAGGCTGTTCTTGTACCACTCGTCCTCCGGCGACATGCCTGCGCAGACAAAGAGGGCTGTGTTAACGGAACGGGGGTCGTGGACAGAGGCCATCCGCGTGGACGTCCCACAGACGGTGATCAAGACCCACGGCGAGGCAGTCCCGCCGAGCAGCGCTGCTTCGACATTGCCTACCTCCCAGGCGCCCGCAGCCGCGCACCTCGCAGCGCGCTTTTCGTGGGAGATTTTGTGAATTGCAAAAAAGAGGGGGGGGGGTGCACGCCGGGCGCCACCTTCCAAGACGGCGCCCTCATCGAGGACGTCCAGGAAGCAGAGGGGCCGTGCGAGGGCGGCACATGCCCCGGCACATGCAGCCGGAAGCAGCCCCATCTCGCGGCGGAAATGAACCGAGTGACAGCATCTTGGACGCTCCAAGACGTCTAACGAGGAGTCCTGATTTGCTGGCGCGGGCATTTGGAGAGAAAGGGGAGGGGGAGAGGCGGCTCGTCATGTGGAAGGTAGGGCGGCGCTACCGTGGCGCATCATGCGGGGAGACATGGCAACTCGGGCAACTCGGGCCCACGCGGGGGCCCTTCTGCATCGAGCTTGTCAAAAACAAAACAAAAATGGCAAAGTCGCCCACAGTGCTCATCCAGTGCGGCGTGCGAGTGGAGGCAGCCGGCCACCGCCTCGGCCACGAGGCCCCGGTGCTGCAGGCTGCATGACCGGTCGACTCAGTCCCGACGTCCCGACCCCAGGTACGGAAACGTGCCCAGCGACGGGGCGACGGGCGCACCCAATCTGCAGGTGCATCCGGCTCAGATAAATTGCGCGGATTGAAAACGATTAAAGTATGGCGCCGCCATGGGTAGAGGCGGCGGAGGGAACCCGAGGGAACCAGCGAACGCTGTCGGCACTATTAGCCGGGGAAGGGGGAAGCCGGGCTGAGGTCGAAAGGCAAAAAACAGCAGGGCGGGGGGGTGGCGGGGGCGGGGATCGGGGGGGGGGGGGGGGGGGCAGCCAGCCCGCGAGAGTGCCGGGCCGGGCCTTTCCATCAAGGCGGAGCAGAGGAGAAACAGGCGGAGGGGAGGGGAGGACGACGGGGAGGAGCAACCCCCGCGCCGTGCCGCCGTGCCGCCGTGCCGTGGTGCCGCCCTCCACACACCGCCGCGTAGCGCTCGATACTTTCCCGGCACAGGCAGGCACAGCCACAGCGAGCTCACCACGCCCCACCCGGCCAGGCCCACCGGCCCGCCGCCGCCATCCCGCCATAGTGTTGCTCTGTTGATGCGCCGCCGCACCGCCAGGCCTTGACTGCCGCCCGGGAAAACAAAACGCCCCGCGGCCCCAGCGGACTGGTGAGGGAGCGAGAGGGACAGAACGACTCCACTTCGGAATTGCTCGGTGAAGTGGCTTGACCAAAAAGTCGCCGTCTTTTTCTGTTTTCGCAGTCTAGAGCGCCCGGTTGGCGGTGGAGTGGAAAGATTCAATTTGGCTAACGCGCGTCGCACAATCTTGGGGCAACGATTTTTCGGATGTTCATTATTAAATAAAAAGCTCTTTCAAGTGCACCAGCGTTTAAGTTTCCCCATCGAAACAAAATACTCACGCTCACCTGACGCTTTGGAGAAGCTGTTGAAGGTCCCCATCGAGTCCTGCCGCATGCCGCCCATGTTGCCCGTGCCGTGGCTCATGCCAAAGGGCTGCGCCATGCTGGGGTACGAGCTGGCGCCCATCTGTCCCAACAACCAATCATTCTTTTTGACTCAGGCGGGATGCGAAAATTGTCAGTAACAAACTGAAGTAAAGACGGCGGCTCAAAGCGCCGGCGGCGGGGGATGGCGCAGCCTCCGACTGCCTCTCACCTGCGGGTACCGGTTCATGGAGTTCATGGAGGCGATGGAGTTGTGGTGGGGGTAGGGCTGGTACGAGCGGCCGGCGGGCTGGTACAGGTTCCTCATCATGCCGTTGCAGGCCGGCAGCACGGACGGGGCCAGCGCCTTCTGAAGCTGCTTCTCCTGCTTCCGGTACTTGGCCCGCCTGTTCTGGAACCACACCTGCAAACAGCCGGAAAGAATGGAAAAATCAAATAACAACTCGCTTCACGAGATCACGTCGGCGCGCAACGCGTTGGCAATTTGTTTGGCAATTCGTTGGTTCATCATATCGATCGCAACAAAGTGCCCCACATCCGTGTGTGAGGGCGGGGCGGGGCGGGGCGGGCGTACCCACATGAGCACGTACGCCCGGCGGGAGTCTGCGACCGAGTGGACGGTGCCAGGCCGTGTGCGAGGCGGTGCGAGGCCGCGGGCGTGGCGCTGCGGGGCCAGCCGAGCCCTTTTAAAACTTTTGCATTATTCATACTGCCTGTGAAGGGCGCGACCCAGCAGCTAGCAGCCCGCCCTGCAGCCAGGCTGGGCCAGGCATGGCCTGGCCAGGCCAGGACGACGAGAGGCCCGAGTTGGGGCTGCTGTGCCGTGGCGTGCCGTGCCGTAGCGTGCCGTGCCGGGACAGCAGCGGGGGCGCGGGTCGGGCCGGGTGGGAGGCCTGCCCGAAGTTTCCGGGTTTATCTGCGCTCCAGTTCCCAAACGACAGCAACGCAAGCAGGGAAAGGCTCTCTTCTTGCCTCAATTGAAAGGCGACGTTCATTTTTATTTGTAACTGGATCAGGCCGGCGAGGAGTCATATCTTTGGCGGAGGGAATTCGTCAGTTATTAAAAGCGTCTGAACTGAGGAGTTCTCTGTTTCTTCCCTCGTATTTTTGTAATTTTTTTAAAAAGAGGGGGTTTCAGGTGCAACAATGATCACTCATAAAGCCAGCGCGTTAAAAATGACTCGGAAAAACGTCTTTTTTTTCTTTTGCCACCCTCAACTGAGTTTTCCATCTGTTGATGGGTCCGGCGGAGCGCGAGGGAAGGAAGCCATTGCTCGCCTGGTTAGCCTGTTTCCCCGAACGGCGTAGCCTATCGCGCTTCACCGGGGAGTCGAAATACTGGGAACTGGGCATGCTTGCGTGAACTGGAGCTCCATTGGTGGGGAGCTGGTTCTCGCAGACTGGTCGACGATGAAGACAACCCTGCGCTCTCTCAATGTGAGCAAAGCAAAACAACAAACAGGGAGGACGAGAGGCGAAGCAAGGCGGTCGGCACGGCGTCTGTTTTCGCCTTCACCGCAAAACGCGGTAGCCTACAGTGTGGGCGAGGGAGCGTGTGCGCCCCGCCAGCCCCGCCTCGTGCACCACCCACCTCGGCATCAGTCTGGCATCGTGGCTTTGGGACCGCCTCGGCCGCCGCCTCGGCCGCCGCCACCCCCAGACATCCTTAGGCCACCCTACCCGCCCCGGCCGCCCCGGCCGCCCCGCCCGCCACGCAGCCACGTCTATTATCATTGGCTACCACCACGCACGCACGCACGCACGCACGCACGTCGAGGAGGCGAACAAGAGGGTAGTCGAGGAGGGCGCCGAGGCTGGCACAGTAGTCGGCTACACTGAAAACAAGCGTTGTAGAAATGTTGGAAAGCAAAGGGTGGAGCCAGTGGCGCGGCAGGACAGGCTGCATGCTCCATCCTGGACTTTAGCGAGCAGAGAGCCCCCTCCCCCGCCCCCTCCCCGTCTTATAATCGCGGCGGCGGAGAGACGTCTGTTCATCCCAGTTTACAAAAGTCATCCCCGCCAAGTTTAGATTGCTTTTCCATCTCTGATGGGGTCCTCCGAGAAGCTCTCGGCCTCGCCCCGCCACGCCCCGCCGGGCCGCGCTCGGCGCCCCGCCTCGCCCCGCCTCGCCCCGTCTCACCCCGCCTCGCCGCAGCCCCGCCAAGTTGTGTGGCACTACTGCGCAGAACGGAGCACGGGGTACGGGGCTACCGGCAACGAAGGGGTGTAGGTGTTTCGCGGCCAAACTTGAGCATCACCGCGTTGCAATGTGCGGAAGAAGTTGCATATCCGTACATTTGTTTGCTGGCAGTGTCTTTTTGTGGCGGTCTGGCCAGGGCGAGGTTCGGCGAGGATGCGGCGCGGCCAACCCTCCGGCCTCGGATGGGAGGGTGGAGGGCGTGGCCGTGGCGTGGCCGTGGCGTGGCCGTGGCGTGGCCGAGGCACATCCATGGCAGGCCACGCGGGGGAGGGGGGGGGGGGTGCCTCGCCTAAGCCGCGCTGGAGTGCAGCCCGCCTGAGCCGGGGCCTGAGCCGGGGCCTGAGCCGGGTCTCGGTGTGGCGGCCCAGGTGTGGACTAGATTCGTGCCGCACATGTGGGAAGCGGAGGAAAAACAAAAAAAGGAAAAAAGTTCGAGGATCTGAACGTCGGACCCCATGGGAAACCGACGCGGCTGCGCTGACGTAGTACGGAGTGGATCGCGTGGTGGGGGCGACGAGGAAGAATTTGAGTCCCGGGAGGTGGTGCCCGGAACCAACTCCACCACAGGGTGATGGGGGCATGGGACAGTTTGAAATTTGACGGGATGGTAGTCCCCAGCCGAGGCTGCCGCAGCCGCCGCCGCCAGCATTCGCCAAAGTTCTCCGGCCCCACTCCGCGCCGCTCCACGCCGCTCCACGCCGCTCTGCGCCCCGCCGGCCGCGCTAGCACGGCGTTGTGCGTACTTTTCTCCTCCCCTCAGAATCCCATCAAATGCATCCCCTAATGCAATTACCGGCCTAGGCTCGGGCTGCTCGGTCTGCTGGGGCCTTGGCTGGGGCCGCACCGAGACGGTAGGCCCGCTGTAGAGCCTGCTGGTGCCCCGAGCCCCTCCAGCAAGCCCCTCCAGCAAGCCCTCCAGCAAGCCCTCCACCTCCAGTCTCTCCGGCCGCAGCGAAGGACGCAGCCTAGCCTGGCAGCGTCGGCCGAAGCGCCCGGCCGGTAGGCAACGCTCTGCCTTCGTGCCCGCCGTGCCCGCCGGGTTGCCTGGTGCCCGTTCCGCGGGCGGCGCGCGGCGCGCGTTGTCGGTGCTTCCTGCGGCCTCCGCCCGCTGCCGCCAGCAGCCGGCGCTAGTTGCAGCCCCCTCTCTGTCTCTCTCTTCCTCCGCCACAATGCCAGCCAGCATGGCCGCCATTATTCCAGCCATCTCTGTCTTGGCCGTCCTTCTCCGTGCCTCCCATCTCGTCTGTTGACTTTTCTGCTGCTGCTGGCGAAGCGGGCGACAGGGGAGGGGGAAGGGGAGGGGGAGGAGCGGCGAAATAGGCGTGGGCGGGGTGTGGCGCCCGGGGCGAGGCAGGGCGCGGCGGGGCGGGGCGGGGCGGGGCGCGCGCGGAGGGATAGGGGATGAGGGTCCCTTGGGGTCTGATTGCGAAAGAGTTCTCCTCGGAAAAGGCAAAGGGAGGAGGGAGAAATGAGTACGGCCGTGGAGGCGAAACGGGAGCGGGCACCAAAGGAAAGCAGCAGCGGATAATCCTGAAAAAAAAACGCCTCCAAAAAATACAAGTTTTGTTTTGATCGGCAGGAAAATTGTAGGGTCGCGGGTTTTGGGGATTTGGGGACGGCTCGGCTCTGCCAGCGAGTGCCGAGCAGTGCAGGCATCGCGGTGGCAGGAAACGAGGCCGTGTGGCGTAGAAGGTGAGGAAGCACACAAGCCAGGCCGACGTCATCAGCCCCGAGGCCTCCTTTGAGGGGATGCGGGTGGGGATCGCTGCTCCTCCTGTCAACCTGTCCGTGTGTCTGTCCGTGTGCCTGTCCGTCTGTCCGTCGGTGCGTCAGCGCGGCGGCCGGACGGGCGGTCCGCGCTGATTCCATTGTCCGAGTCATTCGCCGTGATATTTGATTGAATCACGTCCGGGCCGCCCAGCGCGCAGCAGGACAAGGCGGACACAGGACACGGCGCGCGGAGTGACCAGACGAGTCCTTGGCGCGCGTCCCTGGACTCGACGTCCCTGGACTCGACGTCCCCGCCCATCGGGCGGCAGCCCCTCTGCAGTTGCGTCCAATATCCGCGATATTTTCTGCCACAGGGCCGCCGCCGCCGCCGCAGCGCGCCGGGCCCCGGATTTTCGGTGGCCCGGTTCCGTCGGCTCGCTCCGATCCGGTCCGGCCGGGCGTCCGGTCGGGGAGGAGGTTATTATTGGCAGCCCCAGAGGGGGCCCCGCGGCCCCAGAGGGGAGGGGAGGGGACGCTGCACGCACCGACGCGCGCCACCCCGGCCCAGGGCAGCCCTGGCCGGCCGGCCCAAACGAGACGAAATGAAAGCACGACCATCCTTCGGGCTTCCTCTTCCTCAAGCCCCATTTCCTGTTCCCGTCCGACTCGTTCCGAGTCGTTCCACCGCCCCGAGTCGCTCCTAGTTCCTACCTGGATCCGGGCCTCGTTGAGCTTGGTCGTTCTCGCCAACTCCTCCCTGCAGTAGATGTCGGGGTAGTGTGACTTGGCGAAGGCCGCCTCGAGTTCGGCGAGCTGCTCCTGGAAACACAACAACGGAAACTTACTCGTACGTGCGGCGGGGCGGGGTGGGGCGGGGTGTGGCGGGGTGGGTTGCGCGAGGCGGGGTGGCGAGACGCCGGAAGATAAGAAAGAAGGAGCAGGGAAGGAAAACACGCGAGAAATAAGGAGATTTGACGGGCGCCTTGTTAAAAAGAGGAAGCTGAAATGAGCCGACGCTGCGTTTTCATCGTATCGACTAGGTAACTCGAGTTTCAAAAAAAAATGGTCAGTGTGAAAAAAATTTAAAAACTTCGCCGAATTGTTACAAATTTGGGCTCTCTGCTCGACACTCACCTGCGTGAAGGTTGTCCGATGCCTCCTTCTGGCGGGCGTTGGACAGGTGTTGGACGTGGGGTTGTGCCCCGTGTGGCCGGAGCCCAGGCCGCCGACCCCCACTCCGACGCCGACCCCCGAGCCGGTGGGGGAGGGCCCGCCGCTGCCCACCAGCGTCTGGGGCTCGTTCTTCAGCTTCTTGAAGGCGCCCTCCAGGCCTGGAACAGAGAGCGGCGCGCCCGTGAAGGCCGTGAAGGCCGTGAACGTGAGGCGGGGTGTGTGTCGAGCAGGCGGTGAGCGTAGCGCGTAGCGCGGCGGCAGGCTGCTCGCCACACAGCCCAATCAGGGTCCATTGCCAACGCGATTATGCTAAACAGGTTAAGGCGGAAGGGGGCCACGTTGGGGTAGGCGGGGCGTCAGGCAGCGGCTCGCGCCGCCAGGGCCGCCAGCGCCGCCAGGGCGCCTCCCGGCCGGCGGCCCAGCGCCTTCCTGAAGTCCTGGAGCGTGAGCACCCTCGTACCCACTGATGAATCACCCGGCAGGCGTCGAAGCGCAGTTCATGTAAAAGAGTCCCACCAACGCAGCCTGTGACCGCAACTGAGCGCCACTATTTATCACCACTGCGGTGATGGTCGTGCTTACAAAGTACTTGCAACGCTTAACCTAGGTCGCCAGCGCGAGCGGACGGCGGCTCGGCGCGCGCAGCGCCATCTCGCGGCGACTCGCGGAACCTCGTCCGCGCGCGAGGCCAGTTTGAGCGGTGACACGTCCTCTTTAATTTAGCATAATGAAGATATTTTTGCAGTAGGCCGTATGGCCCCAGCACGGCTCACGAGGTTTCTTCCTATCACTTTCACTGTAAGAAAGGGGTAAAGTTTCCTCGTGTTGGATGGATAAATGTACCCTCGGGTCCAAGTATCGTATCCACTCCCTTCCTCTTCCGTCCCTGAAATTCGGTGAATCAAGAGCTTTTACGGGTAAGATACAAAATCACTTCTCCAACCAGTGACCTATCCTATTTTTATAAAAACGTCTAACCTAAAACTTCACTTCAAAAACATACTAGAGAATCGAATTTTAATGGTTTAAAGTAAAACAAAATCGTTTTTCGAACCGGCATCCTAAATAATTTTATGGAAAAACTTAACCTAACCTGTACTTCTTTTTTTGTCGCGCGTGCGCACAAACACACACACAGACACATGCATGCGCCCACACCAACACATGCACAGCGAGTGGGGGCGTGGGGGCGACGGCTTGCTCGGCATCGCGACGATAGTGATCAGGGCGGGGATCGGGTTGCACAAAGTGGACAAAGTGGCTGCAGGCTCAAGGCCGCGCCGCGCGCAGAGCCGGCAGGGCCGGCAGCGCCAGGCAAACAGGCAGCCCGCCGAGGCGCGCCGAGGCCGACCAGGCGAAGCAGGCGAAGCAGGCGAACAGTCCCAGAGGCGCTTTTATAATGGATAGCCACCCCTCGGCGAGCTGGGCCACGCTTGTCCCATGTGGCGGCGGCAAGGCAGTCGGGCAGGCAGGCAGGCAAGCGCAGCGGGACGCCGGCCACTCGCTGCCGCGCCGCCACCCCTCCCCCCCCCTACCCGCCGCGACCCATTCACTACCCGCTACGGCCCCTCCAATTTGCAAACCCACCTATCGCTACAGTGTGCCGCACTTGACTCGTCATACAGCCCTAAACTGACACCGCACTCTTGGACCATAAACGACCGTCTGTCAATACTTGACAGTACGGCTTGTTATTTGACAACGACAAGTTAACGACAATTTAATCCGGCCCTTGTTCACGGGACTAAATTTAGAAAAGAGTCATGAAAATTAAGAAAAGCTTAATCGTGTTTTTGTGTTGCATCAAGTAAACAACTGGTGCCAGGGAAAAATTAGTTCGGAAAGAAGAAGAACAACAACATCAACAACAAGAGGGACTTTGATGCACCAGGCCGGCCGCGACGCTGCAACATTGATGACCTCGGCCGCGCCCCGCCATGCCAGCCGGCCGGCAGGACGATTCCGAAACAAAGAGGCTGTCGTCTGCTTGCCGTCGCTCTGCCCCCCTCGCACTCACGGGGCGTTCCACTCGTTCCGCGCGGGTGCGAGGGAGACAGAGCGCCGACTCCTCCCCAGCCGAAAATCCCGGTTACGGTTCCGAGTACGGTTACGACCGGGACAGGATTCCGACCGGGATACGATTCCGGCCGGAATACGATTACGACCGTAATTTCGGACATTTCCGGTTACGACTACGATCGTAACCAGGAAGGGTTTACGACCGTAACTGACCATTCCGGTCGGAGTACAAAGTGTCACAAGACATCAAGTTTGTCTTCTGTGGTGCTCCATCAAGCAGGGATCCGCGTTATATATGCATGACCACAGGGTAAACTTTGCGAGCTACGCCCAATTTTGACTTCAGAAATTTATTATAAGTTACCGTTCACAAGTTATGGAGTGTTTCTGAAAATTCGCTGGAGACTTAAACGCATGGGACATGCTTCTTCGAGTCCGGCCTCGGACCCGGATCTGGTCCGATCGTAACCGGAATGGGTCCGGTCGTAACCGGAACGAGTCCGATCGTAACCGGAACAAGTCCGATCGTAACCGGGACGTGACCGACCGTAACCGTAAATTAGGTCCGGTTTCCGATCGCAACCGGAAAATTTGGGGCGATTTACGATCGTAAGCGGAGATTTTCTCCGGAACCGTAACCGGGATTTTCGGCTGGGTCCGGCGGCCTGCGGCCCTGCGGCCCTGCGGCCCTGCGGCGGCCGGCCTCCAGCTTTGACAAAGCGCCGGCCTGCATTATGCAGGGACGCCAAGCGCGCCTAGCGCGTCAAGCGCCAAAGCCGAGCCAAGCGCCGGGCGGGGCGCCGGGCCGAGGCAGCCTGAATGTTTCATACGGCCACCGAAATGAAACGCTTGCGTTTACACACAAAAGCTGCAAATGGAGGGGGCGGGGCGGGGAGACCGCGAGCGGAGAGGAGAGAAAGAGAGAGAGAGCAGGTTGACGCGCAGGTCCCCGCTTCACCCCCAGCAACACCCACCCTCGCCTCGGTGCGAGGCGCCAAATCTCTTGGGCTCTCTGCAATTAAGAAGCGATAATAGAGGGGTCGGCGTGTCTCCCCTCCCCTCCCTCGTCCCCTCCCCCTCCCCTCCTCCCCCGAAAGCATGTGTCCGATGACAACCGGCAAGCATTTCAATTCCCCATCTGTCACCGCGCGCGCCGAGTCCGCGCCGGTCTGCTTGTGTTGCACCGTATGTGCGGCTTGCCGGCTTGTCCGAAGACCCTAATGACGCTCTGATGGACTTCCCCCTGGGTCCCGGTTGGCCCGTCCCGGCCGGCCCGGCGGTGTTTCAATCATTCAGGAGGTCGCCCGGATAGTCGCTGGGCCTGGCCGCGTGCCAGCACGCAGTCATGCTGAGGTTTGTCAAGCCGGCCTCTTTGCGACGATTAGCACCATTGGAGCCATAAAGCGTAACGCTAATAGTACAGCCTTCGCGGCCGCGCGCACTCGAGCACCAATCGACAAGCGACAGATCCCGGGTTCAACACCACCCACTGCTGATTATTTTCGTCGTGGCAAAAACGCTCCAAGGCGATTTGTAAATAAATTCCCGGGACGGGAACTGATGGCCTTCGGCACGGCTAGGATGATTAATAAATTTCTTGCACTTCTAAAAATTATTTCTAACACAAATTTTTAACATAAATGTTTGTTTTTTATTTTTAAAGAACAAGTATAAACTTCCCAATGGTTTTCAACGGTATAAAATCAAAGCGGTTCGAGCGAGAGTTGGCCTATGTCGTCCCTTCGCGGCGTTTAGGTCTCCAGGGGCCCACTCATGAAGTCAAGTGTTTTTGTAGTCCTAATCAAATTAATTACCTGAACCTACCTAGCAGCTATCACATCTATGCTTGTTAAACCTAATTAAATTAATTATTTTTCATAAATTAAAGTGAATTAGACAAGACCGTGGCCTTGATTTCTGAATCCGGTTTGAAGAGCAGATCAATTTCTAGTCCGCCTTTTCCGGCCTTGGCAATGGCAATGGGATCACTCACCCGTGTGGTCCTGGATGCCCCTGTTGACGACGGGCGACGGCGTGTGCGTGGGCGTGTGCGTGGGCGTATTGTCCATGTGCTGCTGCAGGGGCTGCTGGTACAGCGACGCGAAGTCCTCGCCGCCGCCGCCCGCCCCGCCGCCGCACTTGCGGATCTTCTCCTGCAGCGAGGCGATGCGGTCCGAGGCGATGCGGTCCGACACCTGCCCGGGTGACAGGTGGCTGGCGTTGCCATGGTGATGGTGGTGGTGAAGGTGGTGCTCGTCCACCAGTCCGGCCACGCCGAGCAGGCTGAGGTTCGGCCGGAGGTCGTCCATGAGCTTGGCCGGGTTGGCGCCGCCCTGGTGGTGGTTGAAGTTGAGCTGCTTGGAGAAGAAGGCCGGGAAGATGTTGAACTGCTGGTGGTGGTGATGGTGGTGGTGCTGCTCGTCGTTCTGACCGGGCAGCGTCCCCGGCACGCCTGGCACGCCGGGCAACAGACCGGGGCTCACGATCACGCTCAGGTCGGCGTTGTTGTTGTTGTTGTTGTTTGGCGTCGAGCTGGCGCTGGAGCCGCCACTGGGCGCGGTGCCGCCGCCTGGCGTGGAGCCCGCCGTCGACGAGGAGCCACCCCCGCCGTCGCCGCCCCCGCCGCCTCCGCTACCGCCTCCACCGCCTCCGTCGCCGGCGCCCAGACAAGCGGCCAGGTTAGGCTTGAAATCCAACTTGAAGCCGTAGCAGTCGTCCGCAGGGTAGTAGGTCGACGTTGTCGCCGACGTGGCGGTGCGGATGGGGGGTCCGCGCGGGGGAGTCCCCGCGTCACGGACACCACGTCGTCATGAGCACCCACACTGTGGGGGCCGCACGGTGTGGGCCACACCACACCACTCGCACCGCACTAGCACTAGCACTACACGTCGCGCTCCACCAGTCCACCGCTGTGCTGCGCGCCTTGTCCGCGCCTTGCTCCGCGCCGCGCCGAGTCAACTCCACGAGTGGCAAGGACAGGAGGTCCGGGCGGGTCCCGCGCTTGGAACTGCTGGCAGGCTGCGGAGGGGAACGCCACGCCACTGCCAGCACTGCGCGCTGGGCGAGCCTGGGCGAGCCTTGGCGAGGGAGAGCGCTGCGCGCGGCCACCGTGCGCACCGCCACCACCACCCACCCCGTCGCCGGCCTCGCCACACGTCACCCCTCCTATTTTTCTTCTTCTGCCTCTTCTTCCTCTTCTCCTCCTGCTCCTCCGTCTTCTCCGGCTGCGCGGGCTGGGCCTTCCCTTCCAGCCTGCACTTGCTGCCCCTTGCTGCACTGGCTGTCCCGGGCCGCACTGGGTTGCGCCGCGCCTCGCCGTGCCGGGCGCAAGATGCCGCCAGGATCACCAAACGAAAAGTGACTAACAAGGTTAGGTGCAGTTCGCCCGCCAGGACCGCCACCGCCCCCCTCTACTCTACGCGCTCTGGCCACGCCTATCGGGGGGAGGGGTGCACAACACGTAAGATTCCTTGCTTACCATACAATGCCGGATGAGTCCCGGTTCGGTCGACCGTCTTGGCGGCGCGGGGCGGCGCGGGGCGGGGCGGGGCGGGCCCTGCTTCCCTTCGGCCCGATGCTCCAATATCTGGTGCTCCTTGTCGGCGGGGTAAATTAACAGCCGCCAAGGTCAGGAAAGGGAAAGGTCCCCAGGGCTGCCCGCCGTGGCGCGGGCCGCGCTGCTTGCACGTCGCCTCACATCTCCTTGCTTGCCGCGGCTGCCGCGCGCCTGCCGGTCACCGGGTAGGCAACGCGCGGGCAGCGGTGCGCCGCGGGCAGGCCGTCGCCGGCGGTACCATTACCATTAAGGGCTAGACCACACATGATCGTATGCCATTTCGGGCCCGACACATGCCCGCCTGCACTGCAAAACGAGACATGGCCGTCCTTACTAAGGTGACACTTTATCCCGGCGGGGAAGAGCCTCAAGCGACTACAAGCCCCCACTCGCAGTATGGCCAGTCAGGGAGGGGGCCGACATCCCCCCCGAGGGGGTTATGCAGGCCCACACCCTGTAACAGCCCCTGCGAGCACAACCGGTTCCAGTGCCCCCCTGCTTCGTCCCCTTATCTCGGGGATCAACGGCGTCCTCTTGGTCCAAGTCTTGATGTATTGGGAAAGGCGTGCCTCGCCCTGCCCCCTTCTTCATGCGACCGCGTGCTCCTGTCCTGACGAAGGTGAACTACGACCGTGCCGACAGAAGGGACCATTGCGCCCAAACACCCGACCGCCTACACGCCCAATCACCATGCGGCCGAGAAAGTTTCCACCCTGCGCCTACAACGATGCCCAGCCCCGACGAAACCACTACCTAGCTGCAGAGCCTGCCGAGCAAAAATAGGGACATACCGTTACACGTCGGGGTCGTCCTCCAGCTCCTCCAGCTCCCGAAGTGCCAGTTCCGCCTGCGCCCGTTCCTCCAGACGCCGTTCGATCCGCGCTGCGTCACGCCGACGTTTCGCTTCCTGCTTCGTCGCATGGGGGCAGGCGAAGTCGCGGAACTTCCTCTTCGCGGCGGCGACCGCGTCGCGGTCATGCAGGAAATCCTCCACCGGCACGTCGTGCGGCCGAATGCGCTCAACGTCTTGACGCACCCTCTGGACGTACCGCCAGGCCGTCTTGGTGCCACTTCCCGCGGGGCGGGTCCCAGGGGCGATCCTCGAGAGGTTGATGGCCGCGGTGGTGTGGGCCGGCGCGGAGCCCCGCGACACGTGCGCGAAGTATTGGATGCGCCGCTCCTTCCAGTGGTTGATAAACGGCGTAACCTTGGTGACCTCGCGCACCTCCGCGTTGCTCTTGAAGCCCCAGAGGTCACGGGACTCGAGGGCGCTCCGCTTGGCTCCGCTCTCGTGGCAGCAGTAGAGTCCTTAAGTCCTTAAGCAGCAGCCTGGGCAGCGTTTTCTCGCTGTCTCTCCGTGCAGCGTCCCCTACGGATGCGAGGGAGACAGCGCGACGAAGGCCCCGGCTGACCTGGCGGCGGAGGGAGATTGGTCGACCAACCGCCCAGTTGAAGTGGCCGCGCCGCTTATCGCGAGCGCGCTTTTACCGCTGCAGTGGCCGTGGTCCTCATCGGCACGGAATACGATTAGAGGCGAATTATTGTTTTGAAGGGGGGGCAGCCCGGGTGGACTACGAGCACGGCAACAGTGGCGACAGCACATATCCCTTACATCGCTCTGCCCGGCTCTCCCTGGCTCTGCCCGGCTCTGCCCGGCTCTGGTACACCACATAACAAACCGCCATTTTGAGATCCTCGGGAACACGGCGCGCGCCCTGCCTGGCCCTGCCACCCCGCGGCCACCCTCCCCCACCCCACCCCTCCGACGGCGTGGATCCCGCCCTCCGCGGCACCGCTCAGCCGGCTGCGGCCAATGGCAGCGCGGCTGCCCCCACCCCGCCTCGCCCCGCCTCGCCCCGCCTCGCCCCGCCTCGCCCCGCCTGCGGGTCGCTCTCTCGCCGACCCACCCAGCGCGCAGAGCCCTGCCCGGGAAGCGGCCCTGCCAGCCTTCCCCTCCCACCCTGCCACCCTCCCCCGCGATCCGCCCAGCAGCCCGGCAGCACCGCCCTCGCTCGCAATAATCGAAATAATAATAGAAGATTTGCAAACCGATATTGCTGCGGAACGGGGAACGGGACGGACGCGGAAGGGCGGAAAGGCTCGGACACGATTTCCGCGCGGCTGGCGGTGGGGGGCGGTGGGGGGCGGTGGGGGCGGTGGGGGCGTCGGGCGCTCTACTGGACCAGCCCCTAGCGTTTCCCGCAATGATCACATTCCAAAAATCTCCCCGAGTGGGTATCACATCTGCATGAGCGCGATCGGCGCGCCAGGACGGCCGCCTGCTTCGTTCGGTGGCTCCACGTCGTTCAACGACCGTCAACTGCACTGGCAGAAAAAGGCACGGCACTTTACTGGAACCGGGATCCGAACGACGGGGGCCGCAAGCCGCAACCCAGGAAGCAGTGCCGAATCCACCGCCGCACCTCGCGAAAAAAAAGAAAAGGGCAGTATTTGGAACCGCATCCACATCGAAACTCACACAGTCACGCATTCGTCTGTACGTGGATAGGCACGCGTGTCCCTCCCCACCCTTTGCACACCCTCACACGCACGTACACAGACATGCCAACACACACACACACACACACACACACACACACACACGTGTGCAACGTACAAGACGATAACGACATTACGCCCAATCGCGATGAATGGGAGAGCCGGTGTGGTTATGGCATGGATATGGACTCCGCTATCGGCAGTGCCTCCCCCTCTCCCCACTGCCGCCGTGCGGCGTAGGTATGCCCGGCACACACCGGGGGGAGCGTTATTGGCCACGGCCACTGAAATGAAACGATAATCCACGCTGATGTACAGCCTGACACAACAACAAAAAAAGAAAAAAGAGGAGGAGAGAGAGAGGGAAGAGCCTTGGGCACCACAATGAGAAGAGTCCCGCGCAAATACGCGGAAAACTTTTGGCGCCTTTTTGCGGACCTCTCCTGTTTTGCGAGCGGGATGCCCGGATACGTGTCATTGGCGTCATTCGCGTGATGCGGGACGATCAATAAAAGCAAATGGGCTGCACACCACCGCTGGGACCTCGGGGAGGGGCAGGGGGAGGGGAAGCGGAGGGGGCTGCAGGAGGCCGCATCCCAATTTGAAAGTGTGATTGGAAATTAGGAAGCAACGTTGTTGAGTCATACGATAGAGCAAGAGGGGGAGGGGGGAGAAGCGAGGGGGCGGGTGCAGTGGCCGTGGGGAAGCCCCAAACCTGTGGATAGCGCCAGGGCCAGGGCCGGGCCGCGCCAAGATTGGGTTACTGCAGGCCTTCCGGCCCCGATGGTTATGGTTATGATACCGCGTGATGACATCGGGGGGCTTTGAGGCTTACGCGCTGACGCGCCGACGCGGCAACGGACTGAATCGCGTTACGCTTTGGAAACTATTTGTTTGCCATGAAGCGGAGATATCCAACAATAGGTTAAACCAACAAAACTACTTTTATTTTAAATTATAAAAAAAGGAGCGAAAAAAGTATTTTTGTCCCTTGGGTGTTGAACCAGAGAGGCAATCAAAACGCCGTCACTATCCAAACTCAACCACATCAAATCGACGGTGGCGTTCGAACGCTGTTACAGTGAGGACGAATGGTGGCGCTGCGGCAATGCCTTGCCAATGCCCAACCGCGGCGTGGCGTCCCCAGCTCAGGCAGGGCCAGGCAGGGCGGCACGGCGCCGAGAGCGGAGCGAATAATTAGAAAAGCCCCTGAGCCGAGAGCCTGCCCAGCCTGCCGCTCCGCCGCGCTTTCCCGGTTTTCCCAGTGCGCCTCCAGCGCCGCGCTTTCCCAGTGCCGGAGCCAAGGACCGCCAAGGACACCCGAGAGGACGCCGAGCGCTGGAGCATCGCCGGGGCGGCGGCGGCAGCAGAAGGAGAACAAGAAGAATACGGCCGTCTGAGAGGGATTCTTGATGCATCTAACATTAAATTCAATTTGAATCCCATTGTGAGTGACGAGTGCCGAGTGCGTGAGAGCGAGAGAGGGAGGGAGACGCGGCGCTGCGGCGGGGAGCGAGGCGGGGAGCGAGGCGGGGAGGGCGCTGTGCTGCGAGGGGTGGTTCTGGGGGAGGGACAAGGAGAGACGAGGGACGAGGGGCCCTGTGACGCCGCGCGGCACGGCGGGCACGGCGGGCACGGCGGGCACGGCGCCGCACGGAGCCCAACAGAGCCGCCCGCCCCGGGCGAAGCCGGGCGAACCCCCAACAACCGACGAGCGAGTACGGCGTGGGCCGCGTCGGCTGTAGCCGGGGCTGCCTCGCTATCTCTATGAAAAGTCCACTGCAAAACTCGGAGGGTGGTTTGACGCGGTGTGCGGTGCCTCGCATTGCGACGGCGTCAACCAGCAAAGAAGCACGTCGACTATAACGATTCCAACACATTTTCAACCGCCTCGCCCTCGCCTCCGCGCCTCGCTCTGCCTCGCCCTCGCCCTCGCCGGCTGACTTCCGTTTTAATTCGGGTTTTTATTCGCGCGCGGGTTCAACTCCGCCCACCTGACTTCCTTTTTCGTGACACGCGTGCCGCGTTGTGTGGGCCGGCGCGAGAACAGGCAAAATATTTAGACAGCCGCAGTGTCCCCGGCACGCGCAGGGGCGTGGCGGCGCGTGGCGGCGCGTGGCGGGGACACTGTGTATCTACACAGCAAATTACGGGGCGACGCCACGCCGCGCCCGGCCGCGCCAAGCTGGCCAGGCTCTCCGCGGGCGGGCCCGGCTACCAGGCGAATTAAGGTCCGCCACGCCCCAAGCCCCGCCCCACACTTAAAAAATTATTTCAATGCAGCAGGCAGGGCACGGCGGCACGGCGATGTCGACACGGCCGTGCGCCGACAATCAGCGCGTGCATTCAAACCGGACGGCATTGTGTCGTCCAGGCACTCCTTGTCCACGAGGAGGACGCCGAGGACGCCGAGGAGGACGAGGACGACGGCGGCAGCGTGCGAGAGAGCGCGAGCACGGCGTCAGGTCAGTCCCATCAACCGTCGTCAATGGGAAACTGGAAATTCGGAAAGGACTAGACCGCCCTCCGTAATGGAGTTGCCTGTTTTCCGACCGGGGCCGCCGGCAGCCCGATGCCGCACGGCGCCCTCGTCGCTCCGTCTCTCTCGCACGCTTACGGAGCGCCCCGGGAGTGCGAGAGAGACGGAACGACGAGGCCACTGTTCGGAATCGGCCTGCAGGCCACCAGCCCGCGCACGCGTAATTTGATTTCCCTCCCAAAGCAGAGCTGGATGAGAAAAAAAGAACTTCGAAAAGGTCTAAAAGAAAAAAAGACTGGCATGCGTGGGAATTGAATATAGTGCACCCCGTGTTAAAGGGGCGTTCCAGATACCGTGCGGCAATGGCAAGGGGGGGGGGGGGCTGGAACGACGGTCGGACGGCAAACAGCACTGCTAAGCCCCTCCTCTGGGCTGGATGGTGGATGTGCGTAGCTCAGCCACAAATGCGATTTGCAGCTTTGATGTGGCTGTGAAGCTGGGCCTTGCCCGTATGGGCCAGGATGGGCTCGACCAGGGTGGGCTCGTCCAGGGTGGGCGCGGCCAGGACGGGTGCGCGCCACGCGCTGCCACGGCGCGGCACACGGTACGTCCGGGTCCCTAAAAGCCAGCACTCGATCGCGCACTCCGCAAAGTAGAGCGGCAGGAGAGAGGCAGCAGGGGTTTGTACGGATTTATACCTGTGGTGGTGCAGCGTGGTGAAGTGCAATAGGGGTGGACTAGACAGCGGCGCTCTGGAGCGTGCCCGGGACGGGCGCAGGTGAGGTCAGCGGCCAGCATACGCGGCCGCTCCGGATGATTCCACCACAAAAAAAACTTAATCTTTTGGTGGCGACCAGGGCCGACCGGGGCCACGGTCATTTGGCAATGGCTGGTCCCGGCCGGAGAGCGACCGGATGTGACCAGCCCGCCATCGACCACGAGTCGTTTCCGGTCCGCGCGTCCGCGCGCCGCGTGGCGAGGAGGCTGGTGCGCAGAGGCCTCTCGTCGCTCTGTCTCTCTCATTCATGGGACGTTCTCATGAGTGCAAGAGAGACAGAGCGACGAAGACGACTCGGAATCAGTCTGCAGCGGAGGCAGCGCGCGGAAAATCAAAAAGCACGCCAGGCGAAATAATGGTGTAGCGCCGTGGACCTGCCTGTGCGGGGCGGCATGGCGAGGGGGCGGAGGGAGGCGGAGGCCCTGGGCGACGTCGCCGAGCTCGCGAACGGCATCGAGCTGGAGGCAAGTTGGAGGCAAGCTGGAGGCAAGTTGGAGGCAGGCTGGAGGCAAGCTGGAGGCAGGCTGGAGGCAAGCTGGAGGCAGGCTGGAGGCAAGTTGGAGGCAAGCTGGAGGCAAGCTGGAGGCAGGCTGGAGGCAAGTTGGAGGCAGGCTGGAGGCAAGCTGGAGGCAGGCTGGAGGCAAGCTGGAGGCAGGCTGGAGGCAAGTTGGAGGCAAGCTGGAGGCAAGCTGGAGGCAGGCTGGAGCGGGGCCGGGTTACACTGGGTCCCGCTGCTCTCTGCCAGACCCGGTTACACCAGTTTCGTAGTGCACCTCGATTTGTTCGAGGGTTTGTTTACACATACACGAAGCACCGAAAAGAGGTGTCTTTCCAATCCTGGAACGAATTAACATTGACTTGAGCCAACAGTGTTTTCATTACATGACAAAGGAATTCTCGGAAGCCAAATTGAACTAAATTCGACAAAGCAGAGTCCCTTCTGTTCCTGTTATTTCTACTCCGATAGGAAGAATATGAACATGATCGACTTTGACCAGGAATGAGCGCCACCCCTTTCTTGACGAGAGTGTCCGGGGTGTGGCGAGGACGCAACTCCCAAAGCAATGTCGGAAAAGGGGTGGGGGGTTGTTTGTCGGTCGAGCCGCTACCAACACGCACAAAATTTCTTCTAGATCAAAGATTTTTTCCTACAAAATTTCAATTGCAGGCCAGCGAAGTTTCGTGGATCCTGCAAACGATGGGGATGGCGATCCTGGGACGTGGTCGTCCTGCTCGAGGCCGTCACCCAGGTCGTCACCCAGGTCGTCACCCAGGCCGTCACCCAGGTCCTCACCCAGGTCGTCACCCAGGTCGTCACCGGTCGTCACCCAGGTCGTCACCCAGGTCGTCACCCAGGTCGTCACCCAGGTCGTCACCCAGGTCGTCATCGCGGCCGTGGTGCTGGCGGCGCCATGGCGGTACCGACACGCCGTCTGCTACCGACTGCGTGGCGGGGCTGCGGGGCCGCGGGTGGCGGGGCTGGGGCTGCGGGCCGCGGCGGGGCGTGGACAAGCCAGTCGCGGGTATCTGAATAAATGCATAGTCAATGAGGGGGTGGGCGGCTTGGGGGCGTGGAGGGACGCGGTGCGAAGGGGGTGGGGCGGATTTAACCGGGGAATATAAAACACGGCGGAGAGAGAGAGAGAGAGAGAGAGAGAGAGAGAGAGAGAGAGAGAGAGAGAGAGAGAGAGAGAGAGAGAGAGAGAGAGAGAGAGAGACCTAACCTGGTGTGGGACTATGGACTACTGTAATGACAGGGAACGACGGCGCCGAAGTGCCATCGTGGCACGGACCACGGACAAGTGCATCGGGAGTGAAACAGAGTAGACACACCGCAGAGCAGAGTGCATTCGGCAGGCCGGAAAGCCGCGCTGCGGTAAAAAAAGAAATTAAAGCGGAAAAAATAATAAAAGCCAGCTTTTTTTGGTGGGGTGGCGCGCGCGGTGGCACCACCACAGGGAAAAGTCTGCTGAGAGAAACGAAAATGTTTCAGCCTCTCTTTGCTCTCCGGCTCGGCTCAGCTCTGCTCGGCTTGGTTCGGCTCGGCTCGGCTCGGTCGCACCGCCTCGCTCCGCTCGTCAGCCTCCCGTACTGCGCCACGGCCTCGGCCACGGCGCCACGGCGCGCACAGTGGTGGGCGGGGCGCTTTACCTTAGTTATTATCGCTGCCTCTGCAGCTGAGATTCTCAATTCCCCGGCACACTGTAAGTCGTGGAGGTGTAAAGTGTCATTTTGCCACCCATCGCACCCTCATAGTACACCTTCTGGGGGTTAGAAAAGCGGGGGGTCAAAATACAGAGTGCCTCCATAAAGGTGCTGTTCTACACCCAATAGGGTAGCTCGCACTGCCCGGAGAAGACTTCACCTTCCTGGTGCACTTACGCACCCCATTTTTGCCCTCCTACGGGTGCTGTTTCTGTACTTTTCAGAGGTGCGATGGGGTGTAAAATCCATCCGCGGAAAGGTGTGCAGGGGCTGTAAAGGGACTGAATGGAGATTGCCACTTTCTGGAGTGAATACGCACCCCATGAGGTGTAAGTTGTTGCCTGGGTGGGTGTAAAATGTATCCCTAAAGGGTGTGCCCTTACCCCACAGAGGGCACCTGGAGCTGCGGGGGCGCGCTCAGAAGTGTGCGTGGCGGCACGGCGGTCCCTCAGGAAGTCCTGTAGTCTCGGGGTAAGCGTCCGCGCTACGAGTATACAGGATCGTGGTTCGATTCCTCATGGCTGCCGGCGCTTCGGCGCTTTCGGTCATTGAGGCATGGAAGGTGAGGACAGAAGGCGGTGTCCCGGTGGGCGGAGACCTCCTTCCACCGCAAACAAATCTTTCTTTTTACACCCTTCGTGGTGGGAAAGGACACCCTCTTGGGTAGACAAATCACACCCCTAGAGGGAGAGTTCTTCACTTATGGGGTGTGTATGCGCCCTTGAATGGGTGCATAAGTGTGCACCCACATAATGCCAAACAGCTTCTTTTGCCACCTTTTTTTGCACCTTTTGAAGGTCAGATGAGACTTCACACCCTCGATTATGGGTGTGAAACTCAGGTAGGGTGGCAAACGGTGGTACACCACGAAGGTGTCACAAAATGACCCCTCCCAGGTTACAGTGCAGTGCCGCACCCACCCCCGTCCCCACACCCCCACCCGTCGCACCACCCCGACCCGCGGCCCCAGCGACGCCCCCGCCGCCCCCGCCGCCCCCGCCCAGCGCGCTGGGCCCGCCGGCAAGCCAGCTCTATTAAAAATTCATTAAACGCCATCTCTTTGGCAATTAGAAGTCACTTTTCTGGTTGACATTACAAGGGCTGTGCGGGGCCTGTGCCGGGGCTGTGTCGAGCCGAGCGCCGCTCCGCACCCCGTTCCAGCCCCTCCCCCCTCCCTCCCCTCCCCCTCGCCGCGGGGCCTCGCAGGGTAATTCATCGCCCCGTTTCGCCCAAGTCACTCCGCCCGCTCGCTCCCTTTTCGCAAAGAGAGGATGAGAGCAGAGCGGAGCGGAGCAGAGCGGTGGTACCGCCGCGAGAATCGACTGCGGCGGGGTGGGGTGGGGCGGGGCGGGGTGGGCGTGGCGTGGCGGGGGCGACGCAGTGAGGAAATAGTTGCCGGCTTATTGCTCGACGCCGCGCTGCCAGAGTCCTCGCCATCCTCACCGTCCTCGCCGCCCTCGCCACCCTCGCCGTCCTCGTCGTCCTCGCCCACCGCGCCGTTTTAGTGAGGAGAGCGAGAGTTTCAATGAAAACTTGACGGTCCAACACTCAAACGGAATTATTCAAGTGCGATAACGGAAAGGCCTGACTCGCCGCAGTCGCAAAATGGGGAAGGGGCTTTCTCGCTTTCTCGCTTTGTGCGCGCAGCGAGCAGCAAAGCTTTCGGCTTTCTGTTTTTCAAATTTGATTTTAATTTTAATTAAATACCAGGCGCTAATTTTTAAAAAATACCAGGTGTGAATTAAAGGCCGAGGTTTTTAGAGGCGGCGGTCGGTGCTACCCGTTACCGATACCTCTTACTTCTTGATATTCTTGACTCATTTCGGTTCAATCGATTGAACCGCAATGGGGTCGAGGGTTAACCCTGGTTAACCCTCCTCTTCCATGAGCCGTGATGGCTTAGCGAGGAGGCGTCTCAAATCTACTTTCGCATACGATCGCGCTCGGATGGAGGTGTTTCCACCCGGTGTTTCTAGTCGTTACCGGAGGCTACCCGGTGCCGGGGTTGTCGACTCAAGGCAGCCCTATCGGCGGCGCGGCCCAGAGGTAGAAGTTCGCCAGTTTCCGGCCGGTTCATCTGGCACATCCTCATCGTCCTCCTCATCCCGCGGGCAAAACAAAGGGCTGGGCTGCTGCGGCGCCTTCAGGGACTGGCAGGGCTGGCCGGGCTGGCCACTGTACTAGTCGCTCGCCGTGCCGTGCCACGCCGTGCCACGCCCCAACCGCCATGGCCGCCGCCAGAGAAAAAGAAAATGGGAAGGGTGGATGCTGGGGTGGGCCTCCACCACGGCCTCCACCACGGCCTCCACCACGGCCTCCGCGAGGCCTCGCCCCGCCGAGGGCCGAGGCTGGTGCTTCGGATGAGGCGGGTGCCTCCCCCCTCCCCGTCCCTTCTGGCTTCTGCTGCGAAAATAAGAAACAGAGAGGGACCTTCCCGCCTGCCCACCCCGACTGGCCTCGGCCCTGCCCTGCCGTGCCCTGCCCTGCCCTGCCCTGCCCTGCCCTGCCCTGCCCTGCCCTGCCCTGCCCTGCCCTGCCCTGCCCTGCCCTGCCCTGAACCACGGTGGCCCCGGACCCGCGGAGACGCAGTGCACGTTTGATTCGCCCGACGGAATGACGATGGCAACGGACCTTGCCGGGTCCAGCTTGTCCAGCTGGGCCAGAGGAGGAAGAACGGCGAGGCTGCAAAAATTACTATTATGAGTTGCAATTTCTCACACTCAAAACTCTACGTATTTGAAATTGCTGGATTTTATGTTTCTAACTCTACCGGTGCTAAACCGACTTTTTGCATTTTTATACATAAAGGTAACGTGAATGTTGTAATTATCGAAACTCGTGTATCGCTGTTTTCTATTGAAGGCCAATAATTGAACTGAACTTAAACACCCCTGGTTTCGATTAAATTTCGAAAATGACGACTTGTTTGTTTTCAAATCCGTTACTCGTACTGTTTATCGCCTAATTTTGAGTCTGATGCAATCTGCGACGGCTGGAGCATGTCTCGAAGTGACTGCACAGCGCAGCGTAAGCGCAGCGCGGCCGCTCTCGACTCCCTAATTCAGGTCAGATTAACTGGTTCAAGTCATCACCGCATAACGCTAATGCCATTTCGCACCCCGCCCCCGCCATTTCTCCAGCACCCTTCCGTCGGTGCAGCGGACTCGCGGCGCGCCGAATCAACTTTGTTATTTTTCATTGCAACAATCAGAGAAAAAGTTGAACCCAATCGGATTTATGGCAACGTCTTTCCCCCGTTTTTTTTATATCCCCGGACCAGAGATCAAGTTACCGCCCGCGCTTCGTTCGAACTGGCGCAGATTCTGCGCGCGCCGTCTGGATTCCCACGAATTTCACACATGACATGGATCGTGCGGATCTTTAAAATCGGATCTCGGCCTTCCTCGCTCCGTTAGCCCGCTGCGCCGCCGCTCGCCTCTTCCGGGAAGGCCCGGCCCCCGATCGCCCAGCCGGCTGGCAGCAGTCATGGTGGCGGCACGGCGGCACGGCGGCACGGCCCCGTTGGAGCCGAACGGGTGTTGCGCCGCGCCGTGGCGCTCCGGCAGCTCGGCAGCGACGACGCCGTAAATTCGTTAGACTCGCCTGAAATAAGGGGGATATCGAGACGCAGGGCTGGGCGTGGCTGGGCGTGGCGCTGCAAGGAGGGCGAGGGGGCGAGGCGCGGAATATTAAACGGGGCCGGAGCGTTGACGCGGCGGGTTGACGCGGCGGCCTGGCCGACGGCCGGCCCGCGGTAATGACTTATCTCACTGCCGCCATCAGGTGGTAATCGGGTTAGGCCGAGCACGCCGAGCACCGGGACATCGGCACGCCGATCATCTCCCTGATCCTGGTGGAGGGTGCGCCGCGCGGAAGCTGGCCATCGAGGACTAGTTCGTCGACGCGGCGCCGCCACGGCCAGCCAGGTTCGCTTCGTTTCGGTTTTCCTTTGTGTCGGGGCACGCTCTCGGCAGGCCGTCGTTTCGGGTTGTTTGCCTTTTCCCCTCTCGCAGTGCCGTGCCCGCTTGCTGCTTGGCCTCGGACAGGTCCAGGGCCGCGGATGTGGGGCAGTACAGTCAGGTACGGCGTTCGCCCGGCCGCCCGGCCAGCGCTGCGGAGCGGAGTGGAGAGTGGAGTGGTCCCTCAAACAAAGCTGTTAGACCAAATTGCTTTAATATTTCGCTGGTAAACTGATTACCTCGATGAAAACGACCTGGCGGTGTCCTGGCGGGCTGGCGGGCTGGCGGCAGTCGCAGCCGCACACAAAGCGTCAGTTGGCCGCCCCTCGCCGCGCTCCTCTCCGGTCTCTCTCTCCCTTTGTCGCCGCCTCTGCGCCTCTCCCTGTTGCGAACTGCGCAGTTCGTGTTCGGCCCGGGCTGCGGGGCGCGGAGTGGCGGCGGCACGGCGAGCACGGCGTAGCGGATGTGTTCCTGCATTTTGGCTTTTGATGCGATTTCGCGAGTATGAGGTCGTCATCGCCATGGAGACCACCTGCGCGCTGCTCCCCAGCCTCGCTCCAGCCTTCGCGCTCCGCGCCGCACCACGCCGTGGGGCCTACCCGCTTTTATTGATTCATTCACAACGAACGGGGCGGGGCGGGGCAGGCGGGGAGAGGCGAGGAGGGTTGGGGCGAGGCGGGGTGGAGCGGGGCGGGGCGGAGTGTGCGAGGAAACAGAGCAGCGCCCCGCAGCGCCTCGGAACCCCCGCCGCCCCAAGCAGGGCCCCACGCGGGGCGTTCCCGGCCCCTCCAAGCCGCTCCAGCCCCGGCTCCAGCCTCGGGCCTAGCTCCAGCAGGCCGCGCGCTCCAGGTCGGCGTCCACCGAGGGTGAACTAAACGCAAGGCCCACGCCCCTCGCCTCGGCCGTCGCTCGCCACAATGGCGGAAGCGGTGTGGCGTCGCTTCCCGCGCCGTTCCCGGTTAATCCATTCAATTATTTGTTTATCATTTTTTCACGTCGCGATAATTACCCGGTTCGTCTTGCCGGACGTGGCACCGCGGCGGGCCGAAGCTTGTGATCATCGCGGCCACCGAGTTTTTGTAACTCACTTATGCTAATGCGGAGGGAGAGGCAGGTCGAGCTCGACCCACGGCCCAGGCCCGGCCCAGGCCCAGCCCAGGCGAGCCACGGTGCCGGCGCGAAGTCTGTTGGCCGCGGCTGGCAGACGCGACGAGCGGACCAGCGAACCCGATGCCGAATGGTAAATCACTCCACCCGCCTTCGAACTCAATCAAACATGTCAACCTTGGCGACTGCGTTAGCAACCACCCTCGTCATGCCACGTCAATAACAACCTACAACCGCCGCGCGGCCATGCTCGCTACACTGCCAAGAGGAAACTCGGCGTCGTCGGAAAGGCCTCCCTTCAATCCGTCCCCGGTCCCCATTCTCGGGCCGCACATCCAGGAAATGCGCCTAAAATGCGTCCCCTCTCGACGCGTCTTTGCGTTCCTTTTTGTTTTTATTTATTTTCCGAGGCTGCCGCCCATCGCGCCCCTCGCTGGCGCCCCCAGCCGCACGCTCCTGTGCCTCGCGGCCCTCGCAGCGGGCAGGCGAGAGGCGAGGCGAGCGCAGCGCCCTCTGTCGGCGCGGCCACCCTCGCTTCTCTCGCCGCCGCGAGGCTTTCTGGGCGCCGCGCGACCCCAGCGCCACCAACGCGCCCCGCGGCGAGCGGCGCAAGCTCGAGCCCGGCCTGCCATCCGCGGACCGGGGCCGGGCCTAGGGGGTGGTTGATGCTGTAGGCCCTGTAGGCTGCGCCGCTGTGCCGTTGTGCCCCGCGCCCACCCCTTCGGCTTCGGGTGGCTTCGGGTCCCCGCTGGCCGCGTTCGGCCGCCGCTCGGCT